GATATGTCCATCTACTGGTGCCACTATTTCGGATGGTAATACTAGTATCCCAGCCTGTTTACTTTATCCATGAAAGTTAATGTGGCTTCCTGAAAATTAACTCTTCTCCAAGATCATCTAAAAAAAATTTTTAAATCACTTTTATGGCAGCCCTCCACAAAATTGACCTTGGCCTTCATAGAACTTGTACTGTTTTTGATCTGGCCTATCCTAAAGTTAGGTGCACTGTGTTTTCAACCATCAGGATAAATATTTCAGACAGTAAGATATCAGATTAATTTTGATTCAATGAGCAGACTGAGAACAATTGCCTTATTGTCCACTGTAGTTAATGATAAAATGTAACTAACGGGTTTATAAGTAGACTTCTGGATAGCCTGTTAAAGTGAGTGGGTGGCTTTGAAGTATTTTGGCTGTAATAATAAAATTGGCTTTTGTTTATGGAACCTTGTAGGTTTTGTACTAAATATCAGCTTGATCAAAGTAACATTGTCAGTCCATTTATTTAAACTTTGTACTCATGTATTCTATCAAACAATGCATAAACTTTTTGCCAAAATAGATACGCTGGGAGCAGAAAAATTTGTTTGAAATAGAACACTCTATTTTAAACAAATATATGCAACATTATCTCCCATTAGAACAGTTACCATATTTTGGATATTTTTATGCCTTCTCTGTTAATTTCTTGGAATACATTCCCTGCTTATTGGCCTTCTTTTCTTTCCAAACAAGTACATGACTGCATAACTTCTTCTTAAAATAAATTGTGTGAGTTTAAAGCTATCCTCAATCTTTGTATTTTTTTTAATGTTCATATACAGCTTCTTATCCAGACTGATCATCTTCTATTAGTGTGCATCTTAGGGATGCATACATGAGTTGGTCAAAGATCAATAAGTTGATTTCTTGAATTAAGCTGGGCAATTGTTTTATTATCAAAAGCACGAAAATGACAGATCAAAAACAGGAATCCATTATTTCAGTTGTATTCCATCACTGTAAGTTACAGTCATCTGAGCTGATTTTTTTTTTAAATGAACTTTATGTTTACTTAAGGGACTAGAAATATGCATACTGTGGATTCTGATTTATCTAGGTCTTGATCAAAATACCTGAAGTCTGGAAGAAAAAAAACAGGACAATATTTTATTCTCAATCCCTTTATCTTTCTCCCCACCCCTAAAAAAACCATGACAATAAAAAGAAGTAGAAAATGTTCCCTATTGTTTATTTTTTAAATTACTGCTATACACAAGATTGATAAAATGTAAAAAAGATTAATCTGAGTTTAGACATGCTCATACCAAATCAAGAAATGAACAAACATGTAAAATCACTGCAGGTATTTCAGGAGTTTGTATAAAAGAAGAATGAGCATTAAAAGGAATTGTTGACTGTAACAATTGAGATACAGAAAATGAGACGTTAATCAACATCAAGTTAGGCAAAATGCATATTCTGAAAATTCTTTGCACTATATATTTATCAGCTTTTGTTTGAAAATTAACATTTTCTGTTTGTTAGATACAGGGAAGGACAAATGTGGTTACTTATCTTTTTGTTGTATTCCTGGGTCGATAGGTTATTACATTTTTCAGGATTAACTTTTTATCTGCCTAGTTTTTTTAAACAAGAAAAAAATGAAGAAATATTGCATTCCTTAGAATTCAGCCCCTTGTTGCTCCTTTTGAAGCAAAAATAAAAAGTGAATTCAATATATTCTACATATCTCCATTCCTCCTCCCTCCATTTATTCCATTAGTTCAAGTTTTCTGGATTATTTTATCTCTTTCTTCGATCATGTAGTGCAGGGGTGTCAAACTCAATTTATTGAGGGCCGCATTAGGGTTGTGTTTGACCTTGGGGGGGTGGGGCCATGGCCAGGATGAAAGTGGCCAGCTCGATGTTGCTCATTGAAGCTCCATTTTCAGCCACGTCGACCCTCCCAGGCTCTGTTTTCAGCCATGATGGTCTCCTACAGCCTTTTCCTAGCAAAAATGGAGCTTGAGGAGGCCGCGCACAGCTTGTCTGGGCTCTCTTTTTGGCCACAATGGCCTCCTGCAGCCCTCTGCCAGTGAAAACGGAGCTCAGGAGAGCTGTGTGCAGCTTCCCCAAGCTCCATTTTCACTGACAGAAGCACCGTGCACGGGCCAGTCCTTCACTGTTTCCAGGTTGGGCCCGCGGATCAGTTCGAAGCACCCAGTGGGCTGGATCCAGCCCCCGGGCCTTGAGTGTGACACCTCTAATGTAGAAAGTTCTGTATATATTCCAGAGAATAGCTGGAAAACCCTGATAGTTTGATCTCAAAGTATAGATGGGGATACAATGATATTGGCATTACAGTTCCATCATTATTCCTCAGAAATCAGTTTCTTGTTCCAATCGAATACCTGGACAAAGCTTACTTCCAAAGAAGATAAAAAGTTATTCCAAAAAAAATAAAATCAAGCTGTAATTACAAATACATAAAAAGCTTGTGATTCTCTATTTATAAAAATGCCAACAAGCTCTAGTGCTAGTACAGAAAGTCATATGCATATATTCCTTATCCCATGACAAGCAAATTGGCATGCTATACATTTTGAATAAAACCTTATACCATTTTTTCCTTTTTGCCAATTTAAAGATTTTTAGATGGAAAAATAAATAGATAATGTGTTTCCCTTGCCTCCTCCTCTCCTCCCCTCCGCTCTCCTTACCATGTTTAATTCTGGTAAAGATATCTTGGATCAGGGGTCTTCAAACTTGAGAGCTTTAAGACTTTTGGACTTCAACTCCAAGAAATCCTCCTCCAGTCATGTTAGCTCAGGAACTCTGGGAGTTGAAGTCCACAAGTCTTAAACTTGCCAAGTTTGAAGATCCTTGTCTTGAATGCTTATAGTAGCTTAACATGCTTAAAGTAATGGTAGTAAAAGTAAAGTAAGCCTTAAAGTAAAATGCTTAAAGTAAAAGCAACCTTTTGTTTGATTTGGAAGGGTCATTTTACGAGCTTTATCAACAGAATTGATAGAATGGATAGTCTGTTCCCTTAAATCTAGAAATTGCTGGTGGGTCTTCAAGAAGTTTTGGGACACCTTTAGGCTAAAGTGATGCAGAGTCCTGTTTCAAAAGCACACTGGATGCTTTTGAATTTGTTTTTTCAATGGCATTAAAAAATCTATGTGGCAGGGACTTCTTGAGATGTCAGAAATTCTAAATAGAGAATTCTGTCAACAATGTACCTGTTTCAGAAGATTTGCTTGGTCCTGGGGGATTTTTATTTGTATGGGTGTATTTTTCTGAATAGCGAGTAATCTATTTAAACTGGGTTTTATGTATATGGTGAACAGTTCAAAGCAGTGAGCTTGCATTATGTTTATAGATATGAGAATGGAATTGTCTTTATGTAAACACTTAGGTGAGGAAAAGTGCGAGGGAGATGTTTAATGTATTAAAGGCACACTCCCTAGCATAGTGGATTGTAGACATGATACATTGCAACACCTGTCAGGAAATTACAGCAGTTGAAGCAATTATATCTGCAGGCCATTGAACTGGAGAAGGCTACTTTAAAGTACTTTTAGCTTTCCAAATAATTTTGGATAATTTTACTTCTTAAAAAAATCTTTAATCTTCTAAAACTGTTTTTCTTTAATTTTCTGCAGAAACTGTTTTCTGCTTTTTTAAAAAAAACTAAAGGAGTCATGCTTTTAAATTGTAGTCTTCTTGTGTTTGAAATATTTAATAACCACCATTTCTAAGATCATATTCATAATTTCATCAAATTGTAGAGGACTTCACGTTGAAATAGTAGCTATTTTATTATTTATTAGATATTGAAGGGCCACTAATTGTCATGCACTTCCATTGTCTAAAGTAGGGGTCTTCAAACTTACAGCTTTAAGACTTGTGGATTTCAACTCCCAGAATTCTTCCTCCAGTCATGTTAGCTCAGGAATTCTGGGAGCTGAAGTCCACAAGTCTTAAACTTGCCAAGTTTGAAGACCCTTAGTCTAAAGCTACTTATATTTGTATATCTGGAGATAAATCAATGGAGCTTAACTTGTCATAAACGTATATATTTGGATGAAACATTAGCTAGAGCAGTGGTTCTCAACCTGTGGGTCGCGACCCCTTTGGGGGTCGAATGACCCTTTCACAGGGGTTGCCTAAGACCATCGGAAAACACATATTTTCTCGGTTCTTAGGAACCGAGACACCGCTCCTCTATCCATTGGGGTGCACCACAACAAGAGGAACTGTATTAAAGGGTCGCGGCATTAGGGAGGTTGAGAACCACTGAGCTAGAGAGTTCTAGATCAAAACTTTCCCTCTTTTCCATGAGATGTGATGAAACATAGTAGTCTGGATTCACAAGGTGGAGTGCATCCCAGGGGAATAAGACGCTATTTCATCCAGATATTTTGTGTGAGAGAAAGAGGATGAAGATTGCCCCTCCCCAGAGGTTCTTAAAGTATGTGCTTGATGTAGATAGTAGAATGTTTCAGTTTGGCAAGGTTCTGTCTATAAGAACAATAAAGAAAATAGTTTGAAAGAATCACTACATGTCTTTCTTGATTTGGGGGCCTGAAATAAACTATAGCATCCAATGGAGAACAAATATTCCATTTGGAACAATAGCAATGACTGGCAAGAGTGATACCTGTAGCCAAAATTAAGATTTACTTGTTATATTTTACTATATAGGTACTTCTGTGCTGAACAGTGCATGCTAACCTATCAATTCATAATTGTGCTTTAGTTTAGATTATCAAGTAAATATTCATAGTTGACAGACATATGCTCTTATATTTCTATTCTCTACTTCCAGGGTCAAGATGAATTAAAGTATACATAGTTGGTCACTTTTCAGAAAACCATTCCATTCCTGAAATAATAAATTGCATTAAAGCACATTACACAAATAGAATTATTAGTGTCTTAAAACAAATGTATTATGAAATGATGCCAATTATTTTAAGCAATATTAATTAATGTTACTGTTCTCTTTTTTACAGCTGTATGGGGGAATGTGCTCAACATGAGGTAATATACACTTTTCTTGTATATCAGTATAGCTTTAACATATATTTTTCTTTCAAAGTAAAAGGAAAACACTTTTCTCAACTTTGTTGCTTACTGCTAGAAAGGAAGATGGGAAAATGGCAGCTGGTGTGATTCATTTCTGTGATGGGAAAGGTCACCTTTGTGGATGAGCTGAATATATGCATCACTTTTCCCCCTTTAAAGGGGCTGAACATTTTTATCAAGTACAGGATGTGGTAGTTCACATTTGAAGCAGGGAAAATATTCCATCCAAATTGTTCTGCTGGTCACATACCATATTTGCTTAATCTGAGAGATGTTAGTCTTTTAGAAAAAGAACAGTGAAGAATAAAAATAGAACAGAAAAACTTATATTAATCGGTCCCAACAAAATTAGTAATCTTGCTTCTTTTATTTCTCATTCTTTTCCAATTTTCCAACTATTAATTCCTCATATTTTTATAAACCTTCTTATCTCTTTTGTTGCCCCAAATCATTATTGCATTCTCCTTTCTGCTGAAAAAGATGGCTAAAAAGAAAATGGAAAGTGTATGCTATAATATACATTCCTTTTCCATTATAGTAAAGTTGTAACATTTCAAGAAATTTTGAATCCATAGTTTATGTTGGGAATTTGCTGTTTGTTGTTATGAGACTAGAATATTTTAAGCGTATTTTCTATATTATAATATGTTAAAGCATTAAAAATATATATTGTACGAATTGCCAAGTTTGAATGCTCATAATCCATAATACAAATGGTTTTCCATTTGTTTATTGTTTATTTTTAAAAAACATGAAGCAGAGTTCTTTGTAGCACTTCTGATTGTAAGGTAGAAACAAGCTATTGTATATATGAGGACATTCATTTAAGCACCTGCAAATCCTTAAAACAGTTGATCTTTTTTAGGGTTTTATAGCTGTTCCTACAATGCATTCTGAGGAAAAAAAGCATTTGCTTTGGAATTTAAAGCATGGTACAACCCTTTGGGAGATAATACATGCCCAGTATTAAGCATGAGATAGAAATGAGATATTTCTAAAGGATATATAGGTTATATAGCAGTGATGGCTAATCTTTTCGTTGCCGTGTGCCCAATGTACATGTCTGTGCACACGTGTGTCTGCACCCATAATGCAATGTGCTCGTGACCCAACTGTGCCCCTGTGCATTTAAATCAGAAGGGATGTGCATGTGCACGTGACCCCCCGCCGCATGTGTATGCGTGTCCCATGCCTATGCACGTGTCTCCCATGTGCGGTCCACCCCCCCACGCGTGCACAGCAGATATCCGACCATCAGCTGCCTGGCAGGAGGCACAGACGCATGCACAGTGGATCTGATTTGGGGTGACAGTTCATATGCCGGCAGAGATGGCTCTGTGTGCCACTTCCAGCATGCATGCCATAGGTTCACCATCACGGTTATATATAGTTTCTATATAACCCTTCTTTGACACAGTCCCCTTGACTTCCTTCCACATCCTTTCCATATAGCTTGTATAGTATTCCAGCATTATCCTGTTGGTTAACTCCTTTCCAAGATATTTCTTTAGCACATGTTTTATCTATCTGTCTTGTACCTTGTTAAGAGGATTTTTCCAGAAATCTTCAAATTAGCCATTTAACTAAGTCAACCCTCACTGTGAAATGCATTTCAGAGCAAATATTTTGTAAGAGAATCTTTTAAGCAGTCCACATAAGGCCATTAGAGAGAATAAATCCATTCATCTTGTTTTCTTCCAAGCCCTAATGTTTCTCAATGTAAATATTCTGGAATTGTCTCTAGGCATATTTGAGAAAGTAGGTTCAGATGAAAAGCGGAGACAAACCAAAAGGCATTTAGTGAAGGTTATAACATTGTGTATTGTATATCTGAAGTCATCTCCAGATTTAGTAGTTGAACCCTGGGATTATCCTTTTTATTTCAGGGTCCATCTCATGAGTTGGTGCTAGGTCTCAATTACCCTCAAATGCGGGGTCTTGAGGGAGGGGGTAAATAAAAATGTAAATAAAATAAAAAATAAATTAAAATGGCTCATGTGAATGAACTTATCTCCTAAGATTTTTTTTTTAATTATTTCTATGCTTTCCATTTTTAAAAACATTATCTCCAACCCCACCCACCCACCCCCATTTTGGAATTCAGTGGGTCCCATCGAGGAATTCTGCATTGTTGCCCCATTGCAACCCCTTTTCTGTCCAGTACAGAGAATGGTGCTAGTGGTTCATTTAATTAAAATCTGAAGAAAATAGATTTCTTGCCTTAATGTTCCGGGTGAAGCATTTGTATACTTAATGTTTATCTTGCCTTTTCTGGTTGTTAGCTTTTTTTTCCCCTTTATTTATTTTCACAAGAGGTCAAAAGATTGCCGTTAGCTGCCAGGAACACTATATAATGAATAGCTATGTTTAGTACTGACTCTGACAATGCTATAAACATTTTTTTAATGCTAAATAGATAATTTTATGGAAAGACAACTTTTAACTCCCAGTACTGTTCTGATTCTAAAATTATTTGGCAGTCCTGTCTAAATTCTGTAGGACAAGAATTGCGTGTTTGATTTGTAATAGTGTTGACAAAACCTTTTGTGAGGAGGTTTTGTGACCACATATCTCAAAAGAAAAACAGCGTTATTTGACTTGCAGGACCCCTTGCATAGGTGAAAGATCCTAAACGCACCTTTACTTCTGTTAGGGCAATTAGAAACTAACTAACGCCGTTTGGAATGCTTAAATGCAATACTCTGAGGTGTTACAATTACCACATATAGCTTTTGAGGTTTAACCACAAATCTTTCTATTTGCAGAATTCCATTTACATAAACAATTTTAAAGAAAGGTATTTGAACTTTATGTCATTGAGCCAATTAATTGCACAGGATAATCTTTAGAATCTGAGCAGGAAACAGATTGTATAAGAACTTTCATCCAAAGACGGAAATTTTATTTCAGCATATTGTCTTCTCTGTGTATTTCAGTTGTTTTCCTGTTCACAGGATGGCAAGGCAGAAAATCATGATTTTAGTAATAGCTGCTGCTGAAGGAGGGACTTCGATTTTGAAAATGGCCTATAAAGAATAATATCTGAGAGATTTATCGAAGGGTATAATAGCTATTTCATAAGCAGTCTTCCAAAGTATATCCCTGATGTTTTTTGGGGTGCAGACAAAAAGTATAATTGACTTTTAATAAATTAATAAATACTGTAAATACCTCTCACACTACTGATTCTTAATTAAACTTCATTCTGTTCTTTCTCTAGGAAATGCTCAGGGAATGATAAATATCCTTAATTTATCCTCACAGCAGTCCTATGAAAATGTCTAGGTTATTGAAGAACCTTTCTCTCTTCCCTCACACTGCCTGAACCATGGTCTTCCCTTTTGGTGCAGTGTTTTATTAGCTCTCAGACTGAGCTCTGAAAATGTCAAGAAAGCAGTATTATCCTACTCCTAAAATTGTCAATCTCTATGAATCTTCCATGCTCTTTTGATATCACAGTGTTTTAAGTAGCCTATATGCTTTATTCTGTCTGCTTTCTGGGAATTACTTTTACTTTGAGTACCTATTCATACAGACCCTACCATTCTCACTAAATCAGAGTTGACTTTGTTATATTAACAGGATCTTACTTGCAACATGGGCATATAAAACAAACAAAAATAGATACTCCTAACATTCCTAGGTGATGCCTGTTGACCGTTCAGATTTAAATAAATAAAATTGAAAAGCTTCAAACAGGCTTAACTTTGACATATTCTCTGGCTTTTGATTTAGCTGACGTATCAAGCTATTTTTAACTTCTTATACCCAACACATTGTGTAAATTGAACAGTGAATCCAATGAATGACTGTGCTTTGAGTCTTGGTTTTAAATTTGCATCCCTGTTCTTCTCATTTATTTTTGTGGGGCAGATTAGGTGTTGAGTCAATGTTGACTAGTCCCTGCAGTTTTCTTAGCAAGATTTGAGAACTGTGATGGAAATAGCCTTGAGTTCCTGAAGAAAAGGCACCAAAAAGTAAATATTTGCTGACCTCTGAACTTCATCAGCATTCAGGCACAATGTTAAAATCTTACTTTAGCACTTCTGATTCATCTATTCATTCTCTTTTCACCCATCCACCTGGAAGGAGAAAATTAGAAATTATGGTGACATTTATGTTGAACAGAGACAAACTGTGGCCACTGATAATAGTTGGTGTGGTGACAAGTGGCTTCTTTTTAAAAGAATATTAGAACAAAAACCTTAACATAAATTCATAAGTTTATAATGTTTTATAACATGATTATATGGCTTGGCATGTTTAAAATGTTGCTTTCTTTCTTTGGCTTCCTATCCAGCAGGTTTATCCAGGATAATGGGGATCAAAAAGTAGAAAATAAAATTGAAGAGGTCAGTAGACTATGTTCTCTCTCTCTCTTTTTTCTTGCCCTACTTCTTTTTAATATTTTGCTTTGCACTTTATTCTCTTAGTATTTCCTCTTGAATTGAACTTTCTTTTCATTTCTTTCACTTGGAGTGGGTTGAAAGAAAAGATCAAGATGACCTCATTGATTCAAAGTGAACACATAATAATCAGGTGGAGTTATATTTGAAACTGTTGCAGCCGATTTTTGTTTTTTAACCACATCCTTCCACTTGAAAACTTACAGAAATTCTCAACTCTACCCTGTAGACTCTCGTGTTGTTTGGGGTTGAAGGAAGATAGTACATCAGTTCTTAAAATGTAATGCGTACTTATATGCCACATAAATAATCATATCCTGATCTTCAGATCAATTTTCTGTGTGCAACCTGCATGTGTGTGTGTGTGTGTGTGTGTGTGTATCTGCGTCAGAATAGATGCATTCATTTTGATTGTATATTTTTTCCTTGGTATTTTTAATTTTAAAGAGGCTTTTCTGTTGCTAAAATGCAAGTGGATTAGATCATGACTTCAATAATTTTGATGAAATCAATGAGGTTTATTTTTGTCATCAATATCAATTATTTAATTTGACCTGTTCAAAATATAACTACTGTAAGTTTAGAGCTATCCCAATATTTTCAAAGGTTTGTGTGTGTGTGTGTGTGTAAAATATAATAAAAACATTACATGGTTTCGAACAGTGAAACATGTTTGAATCTTATAAATAAGTAAGTACTGTTAACAATATAAAATATCATTAGTATAACTTGCAAAAACCCATTCTGAATGTGTGACTGAAACATGAATGAATTCTAACCATTTTCTCTAGAATTACATTCATGATCACTGAATATAATATATTCAGAATATTTATGATATACATAGTATAATAATTAAAATGAGGTCCTTGGTTAACTCCCAGTGAACTCCACAGTTCTATTTACAAGTGTTAAAGGACTCTTTGGAGGACCTTTGGGTGTAGAGGACAAAAAAATAATAATACCAAAAGGGAGTCCACTTACAGTAACGTTTTCTATATCTGGAGTGCATTGTAGGAGCTCAGTTTTGGAAAATTTGGGTTTTTTAAAAAAAACATGGGTAATAAACTTAACATTACAACTATGGAAGGTAGCAAAAAATGTGTCAGAAGGGAGTGTCAAGTGACCTTGAAGGGCAGGAATGAAGGCAGGTTCCACGAGGGTTGCTGTTTGCCATAATGAGTGGGTGAGTATTTAAAGAAAGAAAGCAGGCTAACCAATGGTCAGTTTATTTTATTTACTTATTTATTAAATTTATATGTCGCCAATCTCTCTACTGAAAGCAACTCCAGGAGGCTATTGATCACTTGCATCTTTGCGCAATAACTTGATTAGTTGGATGTTTTCTATGCTGGTCTAGGACCATAATAAAAATTTGATTTGTTGTCTTTGGGGATTGGACTATGTCCTTTATTGCCACCATCACTTCTACCCCTTTGAAATTGGAGAGATTCTTATTAAGGGATTGGCAACATAATATCCCTGAAATATTTAAAATGGCTTACAAAGCCTTTATCTCTACGAATAGTAATTTTAAATGGAAAATATGTTTATAAAAAATTAATTTTTACTTTTCTTTTAGGTCATTGCACCTCTAAGGGAAAAGATCCGAGAATTAGAGAAAAGGTATGTTGATTTGTGCTTTCAGTAGATCATATTTTGTTTATTTTAAGTTACAGCATGGAGCTTATGTCAGAATATTTGATCAGAGTGCCATCCTGCTGTACTGAAAGAAGGTCTGTAGGCAATAAATGCTACTGTCTCTAATGGTAACCTTAAGTACAGAGAGCCCTCAGTTAATGGCTGCTTCATTCAGCAATCATTCAAACTTGGAGACAGTGCTGAAAAAGTAGATACACGACCAGTACTTAAACTTATAGTAGTCACAACATCTCTGTGGTCATGTGATTGTAATTCAGGTGCTTGGCAACCAACACGCATTTACGGCCATCACAGTGTCCCATGGTCATGTGATTGCCATGTTTGTATTTCACAGCTGGCTTGCAATAAACAAAATCAATGAGAAAGCTGGCAGGAAGTTGCAAGTCACAATCCCATGATCTCAGACTTAACAATGGCGGGGATTCACTTAACCACAGCAAAATTGTTATACGTTGGGCATGGTTATGTGGCTTTCTGTGGTGTTCTAGATAGGGATATATCTTAGCAGCAGAAAGTAGTTGCAAGCTATCATTGGTGGCTTCTCAAACTAATCACATCATCCTGTGAAAGTTTATTCTAAAGTTCTGCTGTGTTCAGTGAGATTTATTCTTCAGGTAAGTACAAATAGATTTGCAGCCTAAAATACAAGATTCCCTTCTGAAGGACAAGAATTTAGAGTTAAATACAACAGCATAACATTAAAGGAGGAAGGGAAAACTAAATAGGTTCTTTCTTTAATTCTCTTCTGGAAATGCCAGCACATCATGATTTTCGAATATATTAATATTTGGAGTTTGTTTTGAAACTAAATGCATACTAAATTTTGCATACAGTAAACTTCAGCAATCAACATTGATTGACCATATCCGTTATCTCAAATCTCTGGAAATTTTTGACATTACAATTACATGCAGTATATTCTAAATTCCACTGATCAAGTATTTTTTATAAGGTATCTGTTCCAAATTGAATGCTGAAATATAAATAGAGGCTTCAATATTAGATTCCAAATATTTTTTTAAATCTTACGTTTAGAGATGTTTTGGTTGTATAACAGATTGAAAACAAATCATTGCAGTTATTTTAATTCTGAACTGAACTTAACTTAATGTGGAAATCACAATTTAAATATTATTGTAAATTAAATACTGAAAACTATCAGCATTTTTGGTGACTGCATGTTTGTATCTATGACAGCATGTAGAAGCAGTATTATTGTAAACTGCAAGTGCATTTTTACACCAAACCAGCATTTCTTTCTTTTCATCCACTAAGAAAGACAGAAACTGCAAATGAAAAATGCATCGTAAACAAATATTATTTAACAATTCAAGTGATTATTATATTGTATTATTATATAAGATAGATGTTGCAGAAATCTAAAAATCATTTCCCATTTTGAAAAACCAAATTGATGTTTCAGTATTTAGTAGGCAGAGTTGCAGAGGGCTATTTCAGATCTGAATATAAAGTTCTCTCTCTCCATTTCAAAGTTAATGCATGACATTGTGCTGGTAATTTTTATCCATGCTGGAATCAATAATGTCTATTAGTGTAATTGGATAGAAAATCTCCCTGCTCCAGTCTTAGAATCATCCAAACGTAATATTCTCTACACCTTCTTAGAGAGATGCCTTCCAAATTGTATCTTATCTATATTGCTTCTTCCAGAAAATTAGATTTCTAAATCGTCCCTATAGTGAGTGAATTATAAATATGGAATAAATCAAATCTAAGATAATGAATCTCTCCGAAGCACTGATGCTAATGATATTCTAGCCTGACAGAATATTTATTTAGAATATCACCTGTGTTTTCTTTCAAAGTATGACTATTGAGCTAATACAAACCTTTAAATATTTCTCCCAGTATGCTGATAAATAACTCTCCATACATACTGTAAATGCATTATCTTATTCTTCTATACTCTACAACAAAGCAAGGATATATTAAATGATTTTTGGTGTCTCTGTTAGTGTTCCTGTGTTGTTTGTGCACAAGACAAGTGTGCTAGTTTAATACATTTGAGCATCTTGAGTTTGGCTGTGGATGGTGGAAGCATACACAACCTTGTTAATAAATTTCACAACACAGTCTGAACATATTCTTGAGATCCAGATTGGGGCAATTCATACATCAGCAGAGACCTCTGGGGCTCCTTCCCATGCTATTTCAACCATGTCTAGATGGTAGAAGTGTGTGTAGAAGGCTAAGATCAGTTTTCTTTCCCAGCTGTACAATGGAACAAGTCAAGGAATTAATGTTAATGAAAGGTATCCATCACAAAGAAGTCCTGTTTAATTTTAAGAATCTGTTGTTTCTTCTGATATAGAAGAAGATAGGTTGGAGTGGCCTAGACATCTCTTAAATAAAAATAAGTAAACGCTGGCAGGATGTGGAAAGAGAATAACTGACTCTGCCAAACAACCAAAGAAGTATTAACTCTTTTTTTCTTCTCTTATGAAATGCCACAATTATTTAGAGACAGATTTCTTTTGCTGTGGCGAATATTTGTAACAATTTTCCTGTACGTACTTTCAATGATACTTGGAGCCATTAAACAAAACATTTTTGGAGATTATTAACCACAATTTTTCCTATTAATACTTTATTAATAATTCTAATAATAATTCTAATAACAACAACAACAACAACAATAATAATAATGTATTAATAATTAAAATATTTCATAATCTAGATTATTTTTAAAAATCCATGAAGGACAGGAAGCAAGGAAGTGCTTTGGTTGAGAAAAACTAATATTTAATGAACCTTACAATGCTTACAACCTTTACTGATGTGTTGTTTCAATTTTTCCATTTTGAAATGCTTCATAGTTTTACTCAGAAGTACCCACCAGTGAAGTTCTTATCTGAAAAGGATCGTAAAAGAATTTTGGTAAGTTCAGCACTTGCTTGAGGCTAATCAATTATTCTCAGTTTTTCAAATAAAATTAATGAAAACAAAGCGGAAGTGGGTCCAAACTAAAAAGAAAATCTCTTACTTTGTGAAAAATTGTACAGGGATCCAAGTCAATCTTTTGCTGAGCTTGCGCAAGCTTGCATGTGTCAACCATGAAGCCATTTTGGAGCACCTTCAGGGCTGCCACAGTAGGGCTGGTTGTAGCTGTGGGAATGAGAGGAGGGAGTTAGAGATAGCTGGGGCAGTTTGGTGGAGCAACTGTTTATTTCTGGTTTGGTTCCTTTGGTGAGCATCCTTACAGGCTGTCCCACTGACCCTTAGTGCTGTTTCCAATCAGATGCAAGTTAACTATTTCCATGATTTATGAGGTTTGCCCAGTTCAGAGAAGAAACAATGTGTGGAGATTAGCCTTTGCTTAATATATTGTTGAAAAGGGGAATTGATTGAGCAGTGCTTCAGTTGATATTCCGTGCAGTTAAGAACCTCTTAGAAGCTACTGTTTGTAATCTTAAAAGAGAAAGCTATCATAAATAAAAACCCCATAAATGATTAGTCATAAGACATGTGCATTTCTGTATTAAAATGGGGTGGGGGGAGTTAACAGGCTTGAACTTGGTATTTGCAGAAGTGATACTTTTAATTTCATCTTCTCTGAGTCTGTCAATGAATAATGCAGTGTGATTATATTCATTGGAGCGATGCTTCGTGTGATGCATCTAATGAGATCCTTCTATATTCTGGAACAGTAGCCGGTGAACCATATAAGTGAGCAATTTCAGATGCATTCCAGCATATTTTTAATGTGGCCACTAATACAGTTGTTTAAAAAAATCAGACAATATTATTTATGTTAGCTAAAAAGTAAGCTATACGGAAATAATACATGATTACCATCAATGATGCGAGATTAAGCCCTTCTGGAAACATTTCTAGTATTTTCTTTTTCCATTGGAAAATATTAACCTCATATCTTTGACTGCACCAATTGCTTTACATCACTCCTGATAATTTGAATAAAATAATTTCCATCCAAAATTTGACAAAGGCCCTCGCTAAGCACTCTTTAAACCTATATCACAATGTAATGTGGCCCTAATCAACAAAACCTTTACCTTGTTTCACCTTTCGCTGCTTAGTAACCTCTCTCAGCCTCTTTCCATGGTACTGGTTAAAATACTTTCAGACCTTCATACCTGTGAACAGGCCTCAGCATGTTCCAAAGTATCCAATCAGGTACTTTTTCAGTATCTTCCAGATTGGCAACTTTGGTGCCAATCAAATTAGTGGCCTGTTCTAGAAGCTCTTCATCTTTTCATTGGGGCGGGGGTGTGAGGGCTGACCCGAAGCATTGCCAGTTGATGGAAACAGCTTTGTTGTGATGAATCACACCACTTTTGGCTTTAGAGCAAATTGCATCTCCATTATAACACAAATATTTTTAATATTTCATGCACAGCTAATATCAGTTTTCAAAGTTCAGTGAAATAATTATGCAGAAGAAAAAGTGCAGAGCTCTTGTTTCCTATTCTCAGGCTCTACTCACAAAAAATAATTACTTTCATAATTTAAGTGTCCTAAGGGAAGTTCTGTAAATGTTTCCTTCATTGATCATATTGTGTTAATGCAGACATTTGTGGTGGTGTTCAAATACCTGCTTAGATATAAGACATACGTTAGATGGCAAACATATGTATGATTCTCATACTATCTGATATAAAGGAAGTAGCATGTAAAATAGAACAGATTTCAACTGTGCAAGGTAATGCTTCTACATTTATACAGAATCTCCTAAAGAATATGTCCTAATCCCATTTTTGCATATGCTTACACATACATTTTAAAAGGACAGGAAAGTGCTAAAATACCATGTTTTTCAGACTATAAGGCACTCCGAAGTATAAGATGCACCTAGCTTTTGGGGAGGAAAACAAGAAAAATTTTTTGCCTCTGCTCCCAGCAATTTGCCTTCTTGCAGCAAACAGAAAACAGCCTGGTCAGCTTCAGCACAGCCTGATTTAGCACAAACAGCTGATTGTTGCTTGGATCGGCTTCCTGACGATCAGCTTTTTCAGGCTGCAGGGATCGCCATCGCCTATTGCTGCCTCCGCATGCCCCATTTTCGGCTTCCACAAGCCCGTTTTTGGCCTCTGCACACCCCATTTTTGGTCCGTTCCGATCCCCGCCACCTGGAATAGGCCAAAAATGGGGCCTGCGCGGAGGCCGAAAATTAGATGCAGAGCCAAAAATGGGACATGCAGAGGCAGCAAAAGGCAATGGTGATCCCTGCAGCCTGAAACAGCTGATCATCGGTAGGTCTATCCAAACAATAATCATCTGTGTGTGCTAAATCAGGCTGTGCTGAAGCTGACTGGGCTGTTTGCTGTTTGCTACAAGGTGGCAAATTGCTGGGAGGCAGAGGCCGAAGGGTGGGGGCCGCTGGGTGGGCGAGGCTTTGGCAACATTCACTGTATAAGACGCACAGACATTTCCACCCACTTTTTGGGGGGGAGTGCATCTTAAACATCGAAAAATATGGTAGTTCATTTTGGAGATCAAAGAATATACACAATGGGAGATTTTGCTTAGCCAAGAGACCCAAAGTCTTGTCAATTTTAAAAGCAAGCAATGGGATTGTTCTAGAAACTCTAAAATGAAATATCAATTCTAAATAGCACATGAAAGCTATAACAAGAATAAGTCGTTGTGGTTGTTAAGCAGGTCAGCTCATGTCTCACTCAATTTTATGACTGTTTTTATGATCAGTCACTGCTGCCATTAAATGAACAACATGGTCATTTCCCCAAATGAGTGGTAGTTTTTGGCAAAATTACTGAAAACCAGCAAAAAATGTCACAAATTGCAGTTATATGACCATAGGTTACTGTAACCAGTCTAAGTGTGAGCCAATTTCCAAGTGCCAGAAATAAGATCACATGACTCCAGGGGAGAGTACAACAATCACAACTTTGAAGACAGATCATAAGTACCTTTTGGGGAACTTTGAGTAATCATTAAGCAACTTGTTACAATTGAATGAATGAATTAATAGTTATGTTCATAAATCTCTTATTGAAATATTGGGCCAAGAATGTGTTGATAATAGTCTCTGTGGCATCAGAGGTTGGATGATGAATCCTTTTGAGAAGCATTTTATTTTCTCTAAAGACATCTATCTGTCTTACCAAATCAGGTAGGGTGGACAAATTCTTTTATCATTTTCTGTTGCATGCTCTTCCTCCACAAATCTAGTACAGATCTAGTAGCTTTTGTGGTATGATTATTTTAAAAAATGCTGTACTCAGTTTCATGAACACTTCCAATCTGGCATCTGGAACCTTTTAACGAGAATTTGCTTTAAAGAACATTTTTCCTACTGCCAAATTTTTGAACATTGTGGGACAGTAGTTGATGACTTGGATCCTATGGGATCCTTGGATCCTGTGGATAGCAAATAGAATTTCACTTGCACGGTAGGACATTGCTAACTGGAACAATTTGTGGCATATCCTACAATGCTTTTGGGAAGACTGCAAATCCTTGTCATAATGCTGAGACTTCTCAGTGTATTTGGAGGGCACCAGATTGGAGATATTTGCTGCAATAAGTAATTGTTCCACTGCACCTAGTTAGTTTAGTTGCAAACGTTGCTATTGATTGCTTGTATTAGGTAGACACACTTTTAACATAGCTTAAAATAAATAAAATAGATCGTTATGTTTTTTTTTCTTTTGTTCACTTTATCAGCCATTTTAACTAAATAATATTAAATAATACTGAATTATAATTTTTAAATGGGCTGGCTTATCAAATTCAAATAGAAAAATATTCCTTTTTTTACTCCACATGCAATTTTCTACCCACCGACTCCTTCGACGCATTTTAACAATGTAAAAGACAATAATTAACAAATGAATAGTCAAGTTGGCATATGTTCAAGACTCATCCACTATTAGTTATTTGGAATATCTGCAATCACTTTAGAATCACAGCTGCTCTGTAGCTTGTCTTGGTTGAATACCAAAAATTGGCTCTTACACAGTTGATCTTTAGGAAATTGTCATATTAAACTGAAGCCCATTTGTTTTCTTCACAGTTCAATAGTGCACAGTTATTTTCTATGGCCTTTGGAATGTTGTGGTAATTAGGACTTCTAAATGGTACCAACTAAAGATCTTTGTATTTCTATGACAAACTAGATGACCTATAATTTTCCCCATTATCTGTGCAAAATTGATGAGAAGGCTTAAGGAAAATCGCAACTATATGGGCCTTTGCTCAAAATGTAGTTCTGTTTAATCCCTTTATTTAATAGTGCAATAGTAGCTGTGGGAAGAGGCCTCTTAATGAAGATAGTGATGCAACAGTTTTGGACCTCCTGTCTGTATTATAATTCTTCTGTGAACAATCTGGGTCTGTATTCCGCTTCTGTTCTGTCAGCTCCATGAAAATCTTCATGAAAAGCTTGCATGTTAAGCTGGCAAAATCCTCTGTTTGGTTAAAAAATGATGTTCTCAACATGTACGAAATATATCCTACACAATGTGCAAATATACTGTATTGGGCCCTAAAGTCATACTTCTCTCTATATCTTACTTCACTTCTTTGCTAAACTAAAGGGAAAGATGAGATTGTAAACGTTAATATCTTCAGTTTGTTTAATTGATCAGAAAGAAAAACTTGTTTGTGGCTTCTCAGATGCTAAGATGCTAAAAGAATGCTGAATGCTGTTGTTCTTTTATGTAATGTTTGCGGACTTTTTGTCTGGTATTTTCATTTAAAATAGAAGAAAAATTTATATGCAAACTGTCCTAATGCAGATAACTGGAGGAGCAGGGTTTGTGGGTTCTCATCTTACTGACAAACTAATGATGGATGGCCATGAAGTTACAGTTGTGGACAACTTCTTTACGGGCAGGAAAAGAAATGTGGAACACTGGATTGGCCATGAGAACTTTGAACTGATTAATCATGATGTCGTAGAGCCCCTGTACATTGAAGGTGAGTATTTTGAGACACACGTGACACTAAGGAATAATTGTCTTTGCATGAAGTGCTTTCTCTGTGTGGTTGGAATGTCTCTACAGTAGCTTCTTCTACCTGGTATCCTCAAGGTGTGTTCAATCTCATTTTCCATAATCTTTAGACACCACAGTGTATACTGAGTGATTATTGTGGTATTTTGAATTCAATTAGAGGTTTGATGTTTTTTCTTTCAAGACTAAAGCAGATGGTTTTGATCTTATTGGAGATGTATGATGTGTTCTGAACATTGCAGAAATTTTTAGAGCTTGAAATGTTTTGAATCTGATATGATATGGACATTCATATTTCGATCTGTTACTATCAGGGAAGCATTATAGGTGTCTTAAAATGAGGACTAATAGATTGAGAAACAGTTTCTTTTCCAAGGCAGTAATTGTCTTGAATCAAACAGTGCATTTGTGATTTAGTCCTATTATTATTATAATTATTTTAATTTTTAAACTCTGTAGTGTGATTTCGATGGGTGTTTGGGACACTGTGCTGGAGTAGCTTTCAAATTTCATCGTATTTGTGGAATGCAATGACAATAAAGGTATTGTAAGATATACTAGTGAATTCACCCTTACATGGAGAGCTGTGTATATTAGCTTGTACAGACAATTGTCATTGGAAGTATTGAAATTCCTAGAGAACTGATATGGTGGATTGCATTTTCTACTAATTATATGATTAATGTAACTAGAGATCTTGCCAAATTAGGGTGGCCTTGGTTTTAAATTGAACAAATTTCCAAGTTCTCTAATTTTTTTTCCAATTGGAGTCAATTTGGCATGGATCATAGCAAGTAGGGAATTTGCCCTCCACCATTCATGCATCTGAGGCTTCAGAGGTTACAACGTTGCCTTTCTTCATTGTGATTTGAAATCCTATGGAGATGCTATCCTGGAATGCCTGGTCCTGATTTTTAGTATAGATGAGAACTTTAAGTATCCTAAGAAAAGAAGAAGGAGCACCATTGTTCTTTTAATGATGGAGCATAGGAACAAGGCTTTTCATTGAGAATGTTACCCCTGGGTTTAATATATTTTCCATCTGGTTCGATCCCCTTTACCTGATTTCATCTATAATATTTTGTTTAAAGAATCAGATACTTCACAGTGCAAAATACAGTAGCTTCATAGTACAAAGTATCTTTTCCATCAGTCTATAACAAAATGAAGAAGTACCACTGATTGTAATTCTTGAATTGGCAGAAAAAAATATTCATCCAAGTGACTTTTGGAAAGAAATTCATAAGGAACCTGTTGGTATTGTGAATGTTTTATAAACATTTTGAAACATTCATTGGGAAATAGTGACCCAGGACTTGAAGAATTACTTTGTGCTTTTTTAAAGCTGGGTAGCAACTTTTTTTTTAGCTTTAATCACCAACTATTATATTTATTATATTCAAAGTTTGCATTTCCTAATTATGGTATTCTGTTTTTTTTTTCTGTTTCTGGTTCTTGTCTCTAGAATATCTCATTGCTTTCTAAAGCTCCTGGTTCTTCTGCTGAGTGGTGGAGGCTTTTCCTTCCTTTGGCTTGCTAAAGTGCATACTTCAGCCTTGCATGTTTTTATTTTCTGATTTTTGAGAAAGTCCTCAGTCCCAAGCAGTCTGTGACTGTGGATGAGGGCTTAAAGAACTGACTACCTGGCAGAGCTGGTTGTCTTATTATACCTACTGTGGAAATGGCCTCTTCATGTTTACAACTGCTTTTTCTAGCTGTCTATCTCAATCTGCTTTCTCAAGATGCTTCTTGCCTACATGTGCATGTAACCTAATACAGAAAATCTTGCAGTTGAAAAATAGCTTTCACCTGTGCAAGTTAATCATCTGATAATAAACTGGATGGTAGCTTGAATTTTCCACAGTATCTTTGATGTTCTGCTCTTCAGCAAAATGAGTTTACCTTGTTTCAGCTTCGATTATCCTACACTATAGAGCAGAACCTATGAACTAACTTAGAATTCCTAGATGTGTAACTTGCATTCTCATTCTGATTCTTTTAGGATATTAGTTACAATAATAAATGGGGTTTGACGTGCATGTATCTAAAACTGGAAAGTAATGTTATTATTTTGTTGAATCTCAGAATTTTTGTAATCATTTAATGTAAAATAAATCAATCCCTCTCCCTCCCCTCTCCCTTTCCCTCTTTACTTTTTTCATAGTGGACCAGATTTATCACTTAGCTTCTCCAGCTTCTCCTCCAAATTATATGTATAATCCCATAAAGACATTAAAGACAAACACAATTGGAACATTAAATATGTTAGGTGAGTATAAAGTTTAAGTGCAACATTATTTTCATGTTTACTTAGGAAAGATAAAACCCAGCATTCTCATGTAATTTTTCCATTGTCGTGTCTGTCTGTAGTTGGTATATTGTTGCATATTGATCTGAAATGCTAAAAAAGAGGTTCTGAGCTGAATTTAGCAGTTCACACAACATGCTAAGACAAAATATGGTTTTGCAATAGACAAGCAGCATGCTGATACTTGCCACATTGCATATACTTGTTCAGGAATTCAACTTGAAGGTAGAGTTGACAATCCACTTGTGGAAGGGAATGCAGCCTGCACCAGCATGTGACTCATTCAGCCGTAAATTCTTGGTTGTCAAAGACCCCATTTACAATTTTGAATAAAGTTGAGGGCCCCATAGTGTACGAAGACACATTATGCATATAGACAAGTTGAGAGTTTAAAGCAGCTTCTTTTAAGTATTGCGGAGGATTTGGCATGATTAAAAATTGTATTGTCAGTTTTCAACAATCATGATCAACATGGACTCCAGAGTTGGCAAAAAGGGGGCCTTCAGCTGTCAATTGCCCAGCTTGTCTTAGCAGTGTGAACGTGTGTATGCGCTTATACCTTTGTGTATGCAAGAACTTAGACCTAACCAGAACAAAGGCATATCGAGCTTGTACATGGCAACATGATGGTTGAAGCAGCCCTTATAACAGTGGCTGAATTGCCAAGAGGCTATTCTTAATAGAAAATGTAAGCAAATATCCATGTCTAATACAATTTCAAATTATTTCCATTCCACTGAGAAATTTAGTTTTGAAGCTGTTACCAAAGTACTTACTATAATAATACCAAGGCAATTCAGCCCATGCTAATCATTGAAAGTTGTGACAGAATGCAGTGGGAAGGAAGTCACAATTGCTTTGGCTCAGATGGCAAAGAATATTCAATAGTGCATAGCAAGACGACAATTTTATGATAAAATGTTCAAGGTAAATCACTAAGTATTGGCTCAGAGGTAGAACAGAACATTCAGAATGGAACAGAATATTCCCCAGTAATATTCCTCGATGTATCTACTTTAAAGAGATAAATCTTAATCTTTTTATTTAGAATAAAATTGTGCAATATAATTGAAACGTAACTGGTGACACATTTGGAATTTTATCATATTAAAAATAGTTGCAACAGGTAGAAAAATGGTGTAATTGAGGACATGGCCGTTCATAAAAGGTCATTTGCCAGAAGGCATATTGACCAGAAGGCATATACCAAGGCCTATTGATTCCTCTTAGCCATCCCAGTGGGACCGCTGCAAACCAGGAGGATGGATGTTTTTATTTATTTTATTTTATTTATTCAGTTTCTGAGGCCTCCCATCTCAATTGCAGCTTACAATTCAATATAAATGTTTATCTCTATATATGTAGGTGTATATATGTACACACACTAAAATTAAAACAGACATTTTAAAACAAAAACAGAATAGTGCAAAGAGCCTAGTGGATTTCTATAGAAGTGCCTGGGAATGGTTTGGTACCTCTAGACTCCAAGTTGATATTCCCTGTCTTAAAAAGTCGATTGTTCTGTTAAGAATTAAGCCAATAGTTCTCTACTTTGGTCACTTGAAGATGGGTGGACTTCAACTCTCAGTCAGTTTTACTTTGCTGGCCGGGGAATTCTGGGACTCGAAGTCTATCCATTTTCAAGTGAAAACAACTTTATTAAGTTATTATAGTTGGATTATTCATCTGTATACACAAATATGGTTAAAGCCATTTATTCGTATATCCTTTGTTTTGTAGCCTTCAGCCTTGATGTTCTTGATTTTTTTAATGGCAGGATGAGAATAAACTTTTAATTTTCACTACAGGTCACTCATTCATTCATTTTATTACATTTCGGTTTGTAGTCCTTTCACAGAGGCTAGAACCAAAGGGGCAGAAAGATATGTGATATTTGGTGCAAATAACAATAAATTCCAGATTATAAATCATTTTTTATCTGTCTGTGCTAATAATATAATGAACCCTCACAGCAAAGAAGTAATATATAATATTATCTGGCTATATGCTCTTCCAAAAACTCTTAAAACTTGTACAGATTTTCTTGGCATAGTTAAATGCTTCTTGAATCACAAGTCAGCATTTGTTCTGTCCTGAAAGAAGTGTCAGTGTATAGTATTCTACTTCAGGGTTGGTTGAAGTAAAATAAAGGTATCTCTGCTCCTTTTAAAACCATGTCTTCTTTTTGTTAAGGTTTAGCAAAACGTGTTGGAGCCCGTCTTCTCCTTGCATCCACTTCTGAAGTTTATGGAGGTAAGAAGTGATTAATCTGGGAAGTCCTACTTCATCACGGCCTTATTGATTGCATCGATTTTTCCCACCTTGCTTGTCTTCCAGTTAAAGTATTAACAATTTGTTTGTTTGTATCTTGCAAGAAAACATATCCCAAACACCTTCCTTCTCCTATTTCCTGTGAGGTGGATGGGCTTGAGGAAATGCGACTGCCAAAAGTTACCCAGCATGGCTAAGGCGAGACTTGAACTCATGGTCTCCTGATTTCTAGCCTGGTGCCTTAACCACTAGATCAAACTGAATTTCCATAGATAATTGGCTGTATGGTGATGAAGATCCATAGATAATTGGCTGTATGGTGATGATGACGACTGACAAATCATATTTTCTGTAATGCTACTTTACTCTTTAATTATGGGTTACTGTAACTTGATGACATTCAACTTGGCATATTGTTTTGTTCTGAGTTTGGCATCCTGGTACCATCAAGATGTTCAGATTACAGTTCCCATATTCCCTGACCAATAGCCATCTTAATGGAGGCCTATAAGAATTGTGATCCAATTATAACAGATAAGGTTTGTTTGCTAAGCCATGGTGTAGATATGCCAAACAGTCAAGCCTTCTTCATTCTTACTAATGAAGGTTAATTCTTTAGGAATTTATGTTAATGGAAACTGAAATTAATTCAGAGATTCAGAGATTTAAAACATACAGTTTAAGCTATATCTGTGATGTGAACAGATCAATTTGTGAACAGAACATGTGGGATATCTAATTTTTTATTTATTCATTCATTCAATTTATATAGATCCCATCTCGTATCATTGGGGGCTCAGGAACCATTAAAACAACACGAATGCAATAAAAAGCTGAAATAGAAGAACAATAAAAATACTTTTTAAACATTCATCATTACCTTGATATATATGAACAATTTGTTCTTGTAACATTGCAGATAATTAAAGGACCCTTTGTATTGATGGGTTTGTTCTTTTATCCTTTCTCAGTTTAGTAACTGCAAATAAAGCATTTTTGCAGAACTCTGTAATTATCAAATCAATTTTTTAAAAAACCTCAGTTGTAAGAAAATTAATTTCGTATCAAATGATACTGTGGCTCAGAAGAAGGAATTTCACCTGGTTTTAGTAGTGCCCAGCAAAAGTAAACCAAAGTAGAAATGGATAGAAATATTGACTGTTTAAAGCATAGCTCTTTTTCTATTTTATATAAATTAAGGCAGTTCTCTCTCCTTTTTTTAAATTGAAACCTTGATGCCATGAAATGCTTTGTAGAAAATTCTGATGCTCAATAGCAATTTTTAAACTGGCCGTGTTTGAGCTATATGATCAGCATATTGACTTTTTCCTAATAAGTTTTGTTTATTCTTGATTAAACTTTTTAATGGTCCATATACTCTATGTTTGTAGGACATAAACACACACACCTACACACACACACACACCTCAGTTGACTGGGATCATTTACAAACAAATTAAGTTCCCAGAATTGCACTAAAACTACATATATCTCAAGGAAATTAAACAGATGTTTCCAGAAAGATAAGAAAAATAAGTTTTCAAGACAGGAAAGACATTCACATAACACTTTGCTGCGCTCTGCTATCCATGATTCTGTAGAACAGCCTTCTTTCTCCCCTGGCTATGTCAAATCCTAATGCCTAAATGGAATTGAATGCCTAAAACCTGTACTGAATTGGGACACTAAACTTTCCACAAGTCCTTAGGTTAAAGTTAGAAAAAGATGTCCTATCAAAAGTAATTAATATTAATATTGTTACTTGTTATTGGATAATTGAAAGCCCCCCTTTTTTTTCTTTCAAGATCCTGAAGTTCACCCACAAAATGAAGATTACTGGGGTCATGTGAATCCTATAGGACCTAGAGCATGTTATGATGAAGGAAAGAGAGTTGCTGAAACCATGTGCTATGCCTATATGAAGCAGGTATTGAGGGAAAGGTTTGCACAGTAATAACATTTGTGTGTGAGAGAGTGTGCCTTCAAGTCAGTGTTCGTTCCTGGTGACAGATGGAACTGGTTCTGCAGTTTTTTTGGCAATTTTTTTTTTCTGAAATGGTTGCCATTGCCTTCTTCCTTGGACTGAAGGAGAAGGACAAGCCAAAAGTCACCCAAGTATCCTTATGTCTTGGTAGGACTAAAATTCACAGTCTCTCAGCTTCTTGGCTGCTGCCCTAACCACTATGCATCTGGCTCTTAGTCATAACATTATACAGGTAGTCTTCAACTTCTGACCACAATTGAGCCTAAAATTTAGTTTGCTAAGTGAGACATTTGTTAAATGCTTTTGGCCTATTTTATGCCTTTTCTGGCCACATTTGTAAAGTGAACCAACTGCAGTTGTTAAGTTAGTAACCCTAACTTAAGTGTTGTTAAGTGAATCTGGCTTCTCCATTGACTTGACTTGTCAGAAGGTTGCAAAAGGAGATGATCACATGACCCGAACACTGCAACTGTCATAAATATGAACCAGATAGAGATTTGGTCAAAGCATCCGAATGTAAATCACGTGACCATCGGGATGCTGCAATAGTCGTAAGTATGAAAATGGTCATAAGCAGGGGTGGGATGCTACTGGTTCTGCCCAGCTCTATGGAACCGGTAGCTTTGAAGACAGCAGACACCAAACCAGTCTGTATTTGCTGCTGTTTGGCCCACCTGCCCTTCTGGGCTTTTATCTGTCCTTTATTTCCTGCTTTTTCAACCTCTGCTGCATAGCTGAGGCTTCTCAAATGCTGTGCACTTGCGTGCAGTACTTCATCTGTCCAGGCAGCACAGCTAAAGTTTTTTTTTACATGTGCATTCAGCACACGTCATGCGTATGCAAAAGATAGTCACCAACTACCGTGTTTCTCCAACAGTATGACCTCCCCCAATAGGAAGAGCATGTTTTCTAGGCATAAAATGAAATTAAGCCCCTCCCCCCAAATATAGGCCTATTTTAAAACATGCAAAATGGGGGGACTTGCCGTTAGGAGCGCCCCGTGGGCAGCAATTCCTCACCACCAGCTGCTCCTAATGGGCGATCATGGCAGAGAGCTCCCTACTCCTGCCAAGCAGCTTTGCGGCAGACCCAAGACCTTCAGCGCCCGCCGGTGTTGATTTCCCTTCTGCCCATGCTGCTGCCGCGTTTGGAGCTATCACTTCCACATTTGGACCACCACTGCTGTTTCGAGTATCGCTGCCGTTTGGAGCTGCCGCTTCTGCATTTGGAGCTGCCACTGCGTTTGGAGCTGCCGCTTCCACATTTGGAGTGCTGCCACTGTTTGGAGCACTGCTGCTGTTTGGAGCTGCCGCTTCCGCATTTGGAGCTGCCACCGCATTTGGAGCTGCCGCTTCCGCGTTTGGGACCCCACCGCTGTTTGGAGCACTGCCACTGTTTGGAGTTGCCACTTCCACGTTTGGAGCACTGCCGCTGTTTGGAGCGCCGCCGCCATTTGGAGCGCCGCCGCCTCTCCAAACACAGCGGCAGCTCCAAACACAGCGGCAGCTTCAAACGCAGAAGTGGCAGCTCCAAACATGACGGCGGTGCTCCAAATGGCAGCAGCACTCCAAACACGGAAGCGGCAGCTCCAAACATGGCGGTGCTCCAAATGGCGGCGGCACTCCAAATGGCAGTGGCACTCCAAACATGGAAGCGGCAGCTCCAAACGTGGCGGTGGAATGGGCAGAAGGGAAAGCAACAGCGGCGGGTGCCAAAGGTCTTGGGTCTGCAGCAAAGGTGTTTGGTGGGAGTAGGGAGCTCTCTGCGCTTCGCCATGATCACCCATTAGGAGCGGCTGGTGGCGAGGCTGCCCGTGGGGCACTCTAGATGAGGATACAAGGGGGGGGGAATAAAGTTACCCCCGAAAAGACGGCCTAGCCATTTTTTCGGGGCTCAAAAAAATATAAGACCTGGCCTTATTTTATGAGAAACACGGTAGTAACACTGATTGAACCCCTCCCCTGGTCATGTCACTTTTTTCAGTGGTGTTGTATCTTCAAAAGGTCACTAAATGAATTGTTGTAAGTTGAGGACCTCTGTAGTCCAGAATTTGAAAAAATGAATGTAATACTAAGGCACTTGGAGAGAAATCCAAAATCTCTCAGGTGTGAGATAAGTAATTATCTTTGGGGGCCTTCGGCCTTTCTGTTTGTCCCATCTTTTATTTCATACATATGGATATAAAAATCTTGTTTTTCATCACTGGTTTTCTGGGGTTTTTTGTTTCTTGTTTGTTTATTCAATTACAACCAACTGTTTGTGGGCTGATGCGCACTGTTTTCTCAGAAACTGCTTCTTGACTTCTTGTAAACCTGTATTCCCTCCTTTATTATATTTATAAATAAATAACTCAAGGCGGTGAAATACCTAATACTTCTTCTTCCTCCTACTTCCCCCATAACAATAGCCCTATGAGGTGGATTGTACTGAATGTGTGTGACTGGCCCAAGGCCACCAAGAAGGTTTTCATGCATAAGACGGGACTAAAACTCACAGTCTCCTGGTTTCTACCCTGGTATCTTAACCACTAGACCAAACTGGCCAGAATCAAAACTGGATTTTGTCTCCTCTGGACTACTTTTTTAGATTGCCTTTGGTTTTCCTAAACATCCAGGATCTTCTCTGTCAACATAAGCTTTAGCGTTGTCATTAGCTTTATTGATGTTTTCAGTCAAGGTTTTTGTTTTTTGTTTTGCATAGGAACCAAGGTTGTTGTGAAAGTAAGAATAAAGTAGTTAAACAGTTGTTTATGTTTCATCCTTTATGGTGAATTTCATTTTGTAATCTATAGTTGCTAAGCTACTAAAAAGGCAGACTGACTATACAAACATTGTAAGAGGCAGTGTAAATTCTAATACTTTCTGGCATGTCTTCTAGAAATATTATAAAGAGAACAAATAATCGAGACATGTTTGCCAACATTTCCTGCTGTTGTCAAGATCTATAAACATTCGTGGCATCCTCACGAGTATCTGTTTTGTTTACTAATTCAAACTGCTTCATGTCCCCAAAAGCCTAACAAAAATTGATTTAGTTTAATCAGAAATACTCATTATATTATCCTTCCAAAGAGAAATCTCTGAGAAAGAGTTCTTTCAACAATAATGCTACAAGCCAGTCTTTCTCAGCTTGTACAGTCCCGATATGCTGGACTCCAACCCTCATAATTGCTAACCCATTTCAGAGGCTGGCTGGGATGATGGGGCTGTTGTAGCAGATACTTGAGGGGTAAGGTGTTGGCAGGTAATAGATCTATAGATGAACTGCACCATATGAAATCATTACTATTATATGTGTGTGGGGGTATTTCTTATTCTGGAATAATGCAAAAAAAAAAAAAATTAAAACCCAGCATGAAGATTTTCAATAGAATTTTTACAAGAGGCTATTTCTTGTCATTTCAGGAAGGTGTTGAAGTAAGAGTTGCCCGAATCTTCAATACATTTGGTCCCCGGATGCACATGAATGATGGCAGAGTTGTTAGTAACTTTATCCTGCAAGCTCTTCAAGGAGAACCCTTAACTGTATGTCTTCATCTTCATCAGTTTAATGGCTGTGTGGCAAAGACACATCAAAATCTGCCATTTTGTGAAATCTCACAGGATCAATATTTTAGTAAAGAATTTTAAATTAGAAATTGAAACATTCTAATGCATCATATAATATTTAATCAGATAAGCACATTGTGTTGTACTCAAAAGTGCCTTTAATATTAAGATACCTAAGATTATAGAAATTGTTTCTAATACATGGAAGAGTCATTGGTAAGAAATCAAGTGAAGCCTTCAACCAAATAGGTGAACTGCTTCTATTGAAAACTTTCCTGAGTTGATATTTGCTAACATAGCACTTGTATCTCTTGCGGTTCACTTATAGCAGATATTCATGCATCTATTTATCATCTAGTGCTAGAGTTCTGGAAATGACAAATATACATATTTGTGTAAACTGCTTCTTAATTCCATTTGGTGTGCTTCAAGCAATACTTTGAAATGGCTCCTTTTAAAATAACATTGAAAGTTACTGCTGAGTTTTAACAATTTAAATATTTACAATAAATGCTTTTATCTTAGAATGACAGAGAAGTTTTGCAATATAAAAGTAAAGGATTTTCAGGCAAGGATGTATGAAATCCTTTTGAAGAACAATAGAATCTAATGAGATTCAGCCTTTTCAAAATTGCAATATTTTGTTTTCTGGCAAACAACCATATACTGGCAGAATGTTTGTAATAGGCTTACTGGCAAAATTGTTGCTAAGACATTTAGTAGGCAGTCTTTCAACTTGCACTAAAAAAAGATTTAAATTCTTTATAGAAGATTTAAATTATTTATAAATTGTTAGAAAAGCCTGCATGACTTGGTTTTATTTTTTTGCCAACTTAAGAACATTATTTCTTTCTCATTTGTAAAGCAAATTGATAATTATTTGAAGCATGTTCTACTATGGAATATTTTTTTTTTTGAAAAAAAACCAAATTCTTCCAAAAAGTGCCATGTTGAAAATAATGGATTTTTAAAATTGGTAAGAATTGCTAGATATGAACAAATGATCAACATGAAAATGAACAAATAGACCAATATGAAATAGTCCTGTTGGTTTGTATCTTGGACAGGAAGCCTGTTGATTGCACTCCATGAACCTAGTGAAAAATTAATGCGTATTTAAGAGGTATATAATAAAATTATTCTCCGTCTAACTTAACAGCAATAGCACTTAGACTTATATACCGCTTTGTAGTGCCTTACAGCCCTTTCTAGGCAGTTTACAGAGTCAGCATATCGCCCCCAATAATCTGGGTCCTCATTTTACCCATCTTGGAAGGATGGAAGGCTGAGTCAACCATGAGCCTGGTGGGATTTGAACTGCCAAATTGTAGGCAGCTGGCTGCAGAAGTACCTTACAGTACTGCACACTAACCACTGCACGACAGAGGCTCATTAAGATAATCATATGATAAATCAGGACAAACAAATATGGATACATGGATGGTACTTGTATGTCATTGCAGAGTGGTATCTTTGCTATACCTATTTATGTCATTTTTCATTCTTCCAGGTATATGGGCCTGGCACTCAAACCAGAGCATTCCAGTATGTCAGGTACACATTTTATATTGAATTCAACTCTATCTTATTATGGCCTTTAGCTAACCAATGTTAATTGTTTCAAGAGGTTGTGGGAAAATTTTTTTCCACATGTCCTAATTTTGCCATATAACTTTTCAGCACTTTTCCTGAGTAGTGTCATTCATGTGGCCCATTCATTATCTGACAGCACTTTTTAAAAACTGTAGGAATTTGTATGGAGAGAGCATTATAGTTGTATTTCTTGTAGTCTCAAAACTAAAAAAAAAATAAAGCAGTAAAAACTACAAATTCTGAATGTTGGTGTTGTGCTTACTTCAAAGGCAAGAATTCTTGCAAATTAGATCAGTGTTTGTCTTCTAGAACTTCTCATTACCGCTAGCAAGTTGAACCTCCATACAATTAAGTAAACATCTCTTTGTACAGTTTGGGCTGCAGATGTGAAGAATGATAATCATGACTCATCTCACAATGTTGTATAGCAAGTATGCCATTGCTGGTTTAACATCTTCCTTGTGAGAATCCCAAACCTATAAATCTAGAAAATTCAACTTTTAAAAGCTCCTACTTAGGAACTTAACACCAATTTAATCTTTTTTAAATGCCATAAAATTACAGTGTTTTCTACTCATCAAACCATTGACTATTTCTGAGCACCGACAACATCAGTTCAGTCCTGCCGCAGCTATTTTAAGAGACAGTGATGAGTTATAAATGTTAAATCTACTTGTTGGAGATGAAGGGGGAAGTTTCTCCTGCTTGTGTCTTCTTTTCTTTTTTTTAAATAAGATTTAAACTTTTTAGATACTTTTTGTTTCTTTTCCTTTTTTATCAATTTATGTATTAGATTTTTGTATTTGTTATATCTATTTAATATAACATTCTTTATCTATTTAATATAACATTCTTTAATAACATTAAAAGAAAAGGTCACCGCAGAAAATAACTGTCAAACTACATCCTGGCCTTATTCTCTCATTGCAACCCTGCTTAGCTGCTGCTTTCAATAATTGTTGCAAACAAATAACAGCAATAGCAATTAGACTTATATACCGCTTTATAGTGCTTTACAGCCCTCTCTAAATGGTTTAGAAAGGAGCAAAGGAGCCATCTGTCCAAGGAGTGAATAAGTCTGCATCAATTCCAATTATGTATATTTGCTGGTCGAACCTGGTCGAGGCTTGGTATTGTGCCAGCCATTCAGGTATTTGTTTGTAGCAGAGTGTGGGAAATTTATCCACCCACGACAGAGTGGAATGTTTTTCTAGCAGCGCCTTGGCTACATTTAATTCAGCCCAGCCCAGCAGGAATACAATGTTTATTTATACCCACACCCGCTATTTAATTTTTACAGAATGGGAAATAGTCAATACAAATGGCTTAGTAATAAACATAAATACACACACACACACACACACACACACACAATAACTCTAAGTGGCAAAAGAAGTGTTAGAAGCCTCTGGGCTTCCTGTTTTTCCTTAAACCATTACTGCCACCTTCTGCTGAATATGTGGATATACACTTTTCTTTTTAAAGAGAGCATTTTTTTCAGTTTTAGCCAGAATAATGGTGGCTTAACATTAACCTAGAATAAGCATAATATTTGTGCTAATTTTAAAAATTATGTGACCACTTTTGCTGTTCCAAATTCATTTATGCCTATCCATCTACATTTATTGAATTTTGTTGGGGAGAAAAAACCACATAGCTTAATTATAAAAAGAGGAATTCCCCTCTCCCATTTCTTAAAGGGCCTAAGGAACCTAAATTTCTTTCCTATCCCATAGCTATCCAGGGTAAATTTGCCTGCCACTGTTCATTATGCTCTTAATGACGAAGTTAAGTATGACAAGCAGAAATGTTCCAGAGAAGGAAGTCAAAATAATCAAGGTGACAAAAATCATGCAGTCAGTGCCCTCCCCGCTGCTTGCCTGCATCATGACAGGGCAGGTCTTGATTGCATAGTTGTGGCCGCCATCTTGACTTCTTGATCCCCATGAACAATGTGAAGGACTACAGTGGAAGAGTCACACTAAATTTTGTTTGGAAATTTTCTACTCTGGCAGTGAACAGCTGACTTTACAATGAGTGGGAACTGGATATACATGTTTGTTCCCGTTTACTTGAATAAACTACCTTTCCGCTCTCTTTAAAGCCTGGCTACACATGCTGAACCTTGCCAAAAGTTGTTAGTAAATGTCATTGTTTAATTTACATAATTAATGCCAAAAGAAACAATCCAATTAACTACTTTTAATTCATCTGTCTCTTGAATTGACCACATTGGTGATTAAAATGTGGGCCACGATGTACCACTCAAAACCAACTCCAGTTTTCAGTCTAATAAAAGTTCCCTACCCTGATTTTAAAGTTTTATTATGTTCTGCACCTAAACCTGACACCCTGATAATTCTTTCATCCCATTGTCTCAATTGGTCTTTTGTGAAAATTGTGTAGGCGGAAATGTTTTCTTCCATCCCTTCATGTCTATTCAGTGTAAGTTGCTGTGGTTCACTTGTTTTAACTTCTGTTCATGGGTATCAGCAACAGCTTCCTGTTTCATCCCAATGGTGAAGATCATGTGGTATTGCATGTATAAAAGGGACGGGACTTAATCAGTCTCGGTCCCATTGACTGCTAACCCCACCCCATGCCACTGCTTACAGTAAAATATCCCACAAGAGAATAATTTCTCCTTAGCATCAGCACTTTGCAAGGCCAGACCATAAATAAATCAGGAAATAACTCTCCGCTCATATTGTTCTATCTTTTTTTTTCCAGTGACCTTGTGAATGGGCTTGTGGCCTTAATGAATAGCAACGTTAGCAGTCCTGTTAACTTGGTAAACAAAACACACTTGTTGTTATAAACCTTAATGGGAAATTGAGTAAAGTAGTATGGAAATAAAATAACACCCCCAAATTCAGAATGCATGGAATCAATCCGTGCTGGGACATAGCGTTTGGTATTGTCCTGATCTGAAAATTGCAATAGACCCATCACCATCATTGATACCTCCTCCTGCTTCTCATTGTTATTAAAAAAGATGAGCACCATATGAGGACAAAGTAGCATGGTGCAATTTTTAAATGCAGTGAGTTCTATATTATATCTGCAAATAAGGCCTTTGCATAGACCCCATTTTATAAATCCATTTTTAAATACATTTCTGCATCCAGTGTGCTGCTTTTGTCATTATATTCCTGCCTCATAATATTTCATCTCTTTGAGATTTTGTTGCTAAATCAGAAAGTAATTTAAACCATTGAGGCCTCTGATAGTAAAGGTTGCTACTGAACGTAGTATGATCTGAGATGTAAAATGCATTTCCTTATGTTTGCCCTCAAGAGTAGTGTGAAAACAAGAGGAATTTCTGTTAGAACAAGGATTCTAGTCTTTGGATCATTCTTTTCCTTTAGGAATTCCAGTGGTAGATTCCATTTGGGAACAGAGAATTCCACAATTGGAAACATATTTTGCAGTTTGTTAGCGGACAGAATGAGTATTCAGGAAATAACTCTTTATGGAAGATCAAACCTCGTGCCTATTGTACTTAAATAATGAATTTGTACTATCGTGCTATACAATACTATTATACTATAACTATTGTACTATAAACATTATTTTAATAATAGTTGTATCTCTAGGGGAATCCAGAGGAACATTCTATTCTAGAATTTGCCCAGTTAATTAAAAAGCTTGTAGGTAAGTATGTTTAAATTGCTTTGTAAAGAAAATATAGAGCTTAGTGATATGTGTCTCCTATTGATTGTTATATGGAAGGTAATCAATTTAATAAGTTCCAATGATTTAATTTGGAGCTGCTATTAGAAAACCCAATGAAGATGTAATAATAATTAACTGAAAAAATGAAATAAAAATTATAGGCCTATAAATACTAAAACTTCTGTGGTCCATGTGCACTCAGTATGTGTACAATATATTGTATAGTTTTTGACTTATGATTGGTTGCTTAACAACTCTTCAAAATTATGACAGAGCTCCCAAAAGGTATTTACAACACAGTTTCAAAGTTCTGATGACAGCCTCCTGTAGATGACCAGACTGGGCCCAAGGGAGCAGTCAAATGAGTCTCTGCGCGCCCACAAGAGATCTAAGTCCAGCCCACCTTGAATGCCTTTCTTATTTCCCACTCATTTCACTTGACTGCTGATTGGTCAGATTCTTGTAGAGAGCTTAAGCTTGCAATCAATCTTCATACTTATTTGAACTGCCTGAATCTCCTGATTTCCCTAGCGCTTGATACCTCCACAGTTACATGACCAAATCTGGGTGTTTGGCAATCGGATAGTATTTGCACTAAACCCTGTGGTCACATGACCGTGATTTAGGACAGTTTTGTCGGAAACTGGTGTTTACTTCTAATTTCTGCCAAAAACTGGGCTATAGCAAACAATCGTTTCACTTAACAACTGGATCAGTCATATGATAACTCACATTATGAACATCATGACCAGTGGTGGGTTTCAAAATAGTTTACCGCTGGTTCGGTGGGCGCACTTTATGTGCACGCACATACTTTGCATATGCGCATGTGCCAGACATGCACTTTGCAGGCGCAGAGGCTTTGCGACTCACCTCCTGCAATCCTGCACTCTCCCTGTCACTTCAGCAGCTGATGCGCAGCAATCTGCTGTGCCACGCAAAGCAGCTACGCTTCAAAAGCAGGGAATAAAGGTCAGTATGGGAGCCCGGTCGAGCAGGTGGGTGGGCCCAACAGCAGCTCCAGCAGCTCCTCAGAAAGAACTGGTTCGGTCTCCGCCAATCTTCAGCACTACCAGTACACCAGAATCGGGCCGAACTGGTAGAATACCACTCTGATCATGACTTAGAACTATGATTGCCAGGCTGACTTACAGTTGCAAGTCGAGACCACCTGTGTTATTATGGACCTTTTGATGTGGAATGCCTTGCAGAAGGAAATCATCTCTGCAGAAACTGAAATTGTAACAGCAATCAACTCAACAATATGCCTAATTATAAAATATGTTTACAGGCAGTGGAAGCGAAATCCAGTTTCTCTCAGAAGCTCAAGATGATCCTCAAAAAAGGAAGCCAGATATCAAGAAAGCCAAATTATTGCTTGGTTGGGAACCTGTGGTACGTAATGTCTATCAATGGTATTGTAATTTCAAAATGCAACATTATTTATTTCATATCATTTAAGGCAAATCGTTGTAATTTATTCTGTGGCATGCTTCCTTTTGGGGACAGGAGAAAGAAGCGTGTTTTTTTTAATGTCCCTTGATCCTTTATGTAAAACAAATTAATTAAACTTAGGAGAAACTCTAAAAACCAGTCATTTCAATAAAAATACTGAAACAAAATATGTACATCTCTATTTCTTCCTCATAAATATCTAGTTTTTTGCTACTTCCAATATCATCAAATTGGAAAACAAGCAAACTTCCATGAATATTTCCATGAATTAAGGAGCAAAGTTTTAGGAAGCAGGGTTTTAGTACTGCAAATAAGCACCACATATTCTGTAAGCAGGGATAATCCTCTCTTTCTCTTTCTCTTTCTCTTTCTCTCCGGAACAGGTTCCGTTGGAAGAAGGTTTAAATAAAGCCATTCATTATTTTCGGAAAGAACTAGAATATCAAGCAAATAATCAATATATTCCTAAACCAAAACCTGCTAGAATAAAAAAAGGAAGAAGCAGACATAATTAAAAATTCAATTGGACAAGAAATGACATTTCTTACCTTGAATTTGAGAAGATGTTGTATGTCTTTTGGTAAAGACTTCAGAACAGGTATCATGAAGAAGAAAAAACTGGAATTTCACTCTGAAGCTTGCTTTAAAGAAGTGGATGTGCCTCAACAAGAAAACTGCAGTTCTTGCCTTGCACTTTTTAAATCTGTCTTTTAATGTAAAATAGATGCATCCTTTTTTAATATCTTCAGGTTTTATATCTTGCTGTGAGATCATTTGTTATAACTGTCCTTGACAGTTTTATTTACTGGTTTCTTTGTGAAGCTGCGCATAAGATAAGGGCAGAATTGCCAATTTATTTATAAAATGGGTACTTTAAATGAGAGAGACTATGCATAAAGGAAAAAAAGTAGTATTGTCAGATGACGAACACCGACATTTAGAAAATACCTGTAAAAGAGTTTTATGTATTCTTAAAATCTGTTTTCCTCCCCCACCCAACATTTAGTTCTAGTTGCACACTTGAATTTGAACTATTTCCACTGATAAATGCTATTTTAAATCACTACTGTATTGTGCATACTCTGGGCAAAAGTTAATGTATTATTGGCTACCAGTGGTTGAATATGCTATTTTAATAAAACACTGAACCTTACAGATTTAAGTAAAAAAACCAAGTCTGTGGTAGTGGACATATTATATTATACAGGTATAGCAGACTGATGTAACATCTGCCTTAGTAGAATCAGTAACTGATTCTTTTAAACAATATTATGTGGGTTTTTAGATAGCATACCTTTTGATGAATACAATTCAATTACAAATAACCCTTTGGAGTTAAATTAAAAATCAAGTCGGTACATACAGATGGTCCTCAGCCTATGATCACAATTGGCATCACAATTAGCAAGATAGTTGTTAAGTGAGCCATGCCCTATTTTACGACCTTTTCTGCCACTGTTGTTAAGCAGATCACTTGCAGTTGTTAAGCAAACCATTAATCAGTGATTCCAGCTTTTCCCATTGACTTTGTTTGTCAGAAACCGGCTGGGTAGGTCACAAGGGATGATCATGTGATCCCAGGATGCTACAGTCATTGTAAACCTGTGCCAGTCGCCAAATGCCCAGATTTTAATCCTGTGACTATGGGGATGCTGTGACTGTGGGGACTGTTTCTAAATCACATTTTTGATTGTGTTGTAATTTCAAGCAGTTCCTAAAGGAGTGTTTGTATGTTGAAGATTACCTGTATGGATAAAATTCAGTGGACGACTTCTGCTCCCGTCTGTGGAATGCAAAATCTTCTGTCTGCTCTCAAAACCTGGTCTGGGTTATGGGGGATCTTAAAGAGCACAAATCATGCTGGGAAGGACGAGGAAACATGAATAACTTCTCTTTTCTGTTCTATAATTAAATTATATTGCTATTTTCAGTACTAATCCACTTATAGCAAAAACAACGAAGAATCAGACCACTTCCACACAAAATTTAACTATTGTTAATATTGACATACCTGAATTACACATTCCTACAGAAACAACAGCATCCTGTTTTCTTTAATGATTTGGAATGTCTTAATCCTATTACAAGTTTTTCATGTGTTAATACTGCAAAAAAATTGAAATGCATGGGAGTGTAGATGGCCAGCCAACTTCTGCTGTCTTGAAGGAATACCATAGTGACAGTTTACACTGTTCACAGCATCACAACAGTGTGGAGAGAGAATTGTTTGTGATATCTCCAAGTCTTTACAACAATGCTTACTATAAAGCAAAGGAGGAAACTCTTTTGGTGACGAGAAAACAATTCAGTGTTTTTAGAGGAGCAAAAGTGATAATTCACAGAGAAGGTCATCCATTAGATCATTAGGTCTTGGGGTAGTGGCAACATGATCCGAGGTTGAGAATAAGGAACGTTATCATCAATTTTTTGTCATGGACAACCATTCCTTCTTGACCCTGGAGTTCTCTGAGCTGCCCCCACTGCAGGGAAGAGGCATCTATTGAATTGGGTGGCCTTGGGAAATTGATGGGTTTCAAAGGGAACTTGAGGTTATTCCTGAAGGTATAACTATGGAGATTCTCCGTCATCCAGATCATGGTTGTCTCAAAGGTGCTCCCCCCACCCCCCAAAAAGGCCACCGGACTATATTTTTTCCTTGAGGACAAAGATTATGTTAGTGCATGGTTCAGCCAGGGCTTTAGTTTCAAACTGAAATGGACATTTAAGAAGATTGAATCACTGCGTGATTGTGCGGCCTCTGTGATTGTGGCTCCTCTGAATCCTTATAGTTTGTCAAGGGTCTTCGGGAGATGTAATGGCACAAGAGCACTGCTGGAGGAATACAAGCCAATAGGCACAGTAAGGAGTCTTTATTAAGACAAAATGAGCTCATTTCTTTGCCCTTATTGTATCTATATACAGACAACCAGCAGCTTTATTCTGGGTGACTGGTCCCCCTTCTTGGTAAGGAATAGTCAGGAGAGCCCCTGTAGAGCCTCTGTCAAACAAAGGTACTTGGCTTTACTGAGGTAAACATGGTTGGGCAGGTCCTTTGGAAATGACTCACTTTGTTAGTTGGGAGAGTTTGAGCCAGTTGATGTTGCGAAAGTAGACAGGGTCCTTGTTTTTATGACCTTGTCATGTATCTGAGCACTTCTCCTTCCCTAGTTGATTAAGGCTTCTCAGGAGATGGCAGTGTTTGGGAGAAGATTGTTGAGAAAATGGTGGGTGTTTAGCATTAGAGAGTGTTGGATGAAGTGTATTATCTTTTTCAGTCAGTTTTTTATAGTACTGACATGGGATTGGTCACATTTGTTGGGAAAAGCTTAAGATGGGGATGTTGCATCCACCCTGGCCCTTCTGGATCACTTGGCAACCTTTCGTATCATCAACCTTCTGGATTAGATTTGAAGGTTGAAAGTGGGAGTCACTGTTTTACAGCGTTTTTCCTTCCTGTCATTAGTAAAAGGATTGCGGAAGAAAAGTCTACACTTATCTCAAGACTCGGTTTCTCATCGCTTCTATTTAACATTGAATAAAGCCCATGGGTGACGTCAGTTAGCAGTAGAATTTCATCAATATGCAAAGGATAATTATATACCTCCAGCCATGACAGGACAGGTTCAGATGCTGACCCAATGCCTGGAGGTTCTGGATGGGGAAGGAGTGACTTCAAGTCAACCCTAGCAAGACAGTGGCTTTCCATTTTTGACCCCCTGGGATCTGGAAACTCATTATCCTTTTAGCCTTAAACCTTCAGACCATGAACCCTGACTCTTCCCCAATGATTGGGCTAAGATGGGAGTGGATCGAGAAAAATGCAGAATTGGTATGGTGATATCATGGCCCTGTGGTGGGTAATAGGAAGTTATTGTATGACACTTGTTCATTTTTATGTTTTTATTCGCTGTAAGATGTACATTAATATAAAATGGCCGTACTGGTCTCAGTAAAGAAAGTTAGTCTTCATAATGAAAGTCTTTCACAAGAATGCATAATTAAAATTTTGTATTTAAAAAGCTTTAATTTTAAAGCAGATATGTTAAGGAATATATGCAAGACCAATTTTTCTTGGTTTCTTCCCCCAATTCCTCAGCTAAAATTAAGAACCAGATTAAAATCAATTTTTAAAAAAATTCTAGTGTCCTTACACAGAGAAGAAAGAATATAGAAATGCAGAGAAGAAACGGTTATTAATAATAATAGTTAAGACAGAGAATAATCTTAATAATAATCATCATAATTGACATTTGCTCCATGTCTGAAGGTGCCTGGATTTCGTGGGCCAATAGGAGCATCTTCATCATAATGGTGATGATAATAGCCACCATCGTATTCATGGCCACCACGGCCTACGTTTGACCAGTAGGAGACATAATCTTCAAATTTCTGCAGAAAAAGGGGAAAAGTGACTATAGATTTGCTGAAGCCATGTGCTCATAAAAAATGCTATGCTTTAGAAGCATTGAAATATATTTTTCTTTCAATATTAATCAGATATTTTCATCCAAAATGGTACAGTAAATGTACTGTATACCATCTTATGTAATATATCCTGGAACATATTCTTCTAATTTAAAAAGTGAATTGATGATTTTGGCAACAACCATATAGCTAAGAGAATCCATTAATTCCAAGGTCCAATTTACTTCTCAGTGCAGGAAGAAGTGAAATATCCAAATCAAATAACTGACCACAATCTAGAATATATTAGGACAGTAAAGCTTTGAGAGTTATTGTTTAAATATTGTATGAATTTCAAATCCGTACCTAAAAGACTTGCATTTATTGTGAAATATAGTAAAATATTTACATTTCAGTGCCTTCTTGCTCCTAGAAATAGGAATTACCATTGCATGGATTTAGTGTTTAAACTATTGACTTAAAATAATATATTTGGACTTCCTAGCTTCTTTAACTTCAGAATGGGTTCAAATCAAAGAAAAGCAAACGAAGAGGTTATGTATAATAGCAAGCTTTCTGCTCAGAGATTCAAGCAATTGGTATTTGAGAGGGCTAAAGCATTCATCAGGGGAAAGTGGCTAACATTAATCTCCAGAAACAGCTGAGCCGTTTCCTATCTTTAAGTTGGTGTAAGATGAGAGAATTCAGAAACCTGCCCTTTGCTACTTTTACAGACCACCTATAAAATTTACAGTTTTCTGTCCAACATGATTTTACCGCCTACTCTTTGAGTTCCTGGAAGAGACCCTTTGCAATATCCTCACATTGGAGTCATCATGACCTTATAAAACAGAGGTGGGAACTCTGGGCCCTTTATAACTTGGACTTGGACTCCAACTGCCAGCCATGGGAATTCTGGGAGTTGAAGTCACAAATCATAAAGGAGCCATACCTCTGCTATAAAGTAAAAGGAACAGAGTCAGTGGAACACCCAACTCCATTAATATAACATCTCTTTCTATGAAGAATAAAATAGAACTGTATATAGTTTATTTTATATCAAGAATAGATAGAAATTCTCAAGGTTGCCAAATTCTGCTTAATATTTAACATGAATTGCTTAAACTGCTTTAAAAATATTAGTAGTCCATTTCTTCGTGTGTGCTTTTATAATTCATTCTTGGTGGAGAATACAAGTAGTCCTTGAGTCATGTCCATAATGGAGCCTGTCCATCACAGTCATAACTCATTAAGGCAGGTTGGTGACATGACCAACCCAATTTTACAACTTTTTCTGCAGCAATTGCTAAATGAATCACAATAGTTCATTAACCGAATGCCACAGTTGTTAAGCAAACCAATGGTTCACTTACAGGTTTGCTGAAAAGCAGAAGTAAATGGTGGGTTTTGGCAAAACCGTTATGTGGTCATGGGACCACGGGACACTGAAAACAGCTATAGATGTAGCCGGGTTGCTAAGCACCCAGAGTTGGGTCATGTGACCATTGAAACCTTGAGTCCGGGTTGTAAGGAGCCTTCCAGATAGGCCACTTGAATGTCAAACAGTCACTAAGTGCTGGCCATGTCAAGGACTACCTATACAGAGTTGCTGAAAGTGTAAATCAAATTTTATCTTGAACGTTGAAACTTGATACCATTCTATTTAATGAAATAAAACTATTGCTTCCAATTTTAAGCTATGCTATCAGTGTTTAGCTTTATTTCCTGCACACATGATTGCTTATTGTAGTATTTCAGCACTTTACAGATTAATATACATATTTTTAAATAAATTATTTTCCTTTCTTGACGATGGTGTGTAAATTATAGTAACAGTCATTTGGATTTTACAAAGTGTTTTTTTTACTCTGCTGTTCTTGAGTAGATTTATGTATTACCTGACCAATTTTGTGAATATTTTTGATGTGAGCTTAAAATACAACAGCATCTTGGCTTGATTAGTTGTTCACCAACATTTATCAGGTGAAACTATAGTGAACTACCTTGTTTTTCTGCTTGTATGAAGCAATACAGAAGCAATAAAGTGACCGTGACATCATTGTTATATGAGATAAATCACTTTAAATCACATTGTTTACATATTGCTACTGGAAATTTGACATATATGAAGGCCTCATCTCATTTCATACTCACAGCAGCCCTGACAGTCGCAAATGTGGCTAATATAAATAGCAATGACATGAAAATGACCTAAAAATCTATACAGGTAGTCCTCCACCATCCATTTAGTTACTGTTCGAAATTACAACGGCACTCAGAAAAGTGACTTTAAGACCATTGTAGTCATCATCATGGTCTTGTGATCAAAAGTCAGATGCTTGGCAACTGGCATGTATTTATGACAGTTGCAATGTCCCAAGATCATGTGATCACCTTTTCCAAACTTTTGACAAGCAAAGTTAATGAGGAAGCTAGATTCACTTAACAACCATGTGACTATGTAACCATGTAACAACTGCAGTGATTCACAAAAAAGCGAAAGTTGGAATATTTCAGACATGTGATGTGACACTCAGAAAAATATGGCATGCTTCACTTAATCCTCCAGGGGAAGATTGAAGGCAAACGATAAGGCAGAAGAAGAACATCATGGCTTCAGAATCTAAGGGACTGGTTTGGACAAAACTCGGGAGCACTTTTTTGTGTGGCTGTTAATAAAAATAGGATCGCCAGCATGATCACCAACATCCGATGACGGATGTGGTGCAAGAAGAAGTGATTCACTTAAAAGGGCAAAAATGGTCATAAAATGGGACAATAATCACTTAACTCTCTTCCTTGGTAAGAGAAATTTTGGGCCCAATTGGTTATAAGTTGAGGATGACCTGTATTTGAACCCCAATGCAAGTCTTATCCCAATGCAAGGCATTAAGGATGTTTTTAGTTTGTCCCCCCCCTCCCCCATTTCCCTTTTCAGGGACCTACAGTGAGTAGGTTGGAGGTGATATCTGGGGCCAATGAACACTTGAACCTGTCTTTCTTCTATTAAAACTCAGCACTCTAATTACTATGGCAAGCCTTTATCTGAGTAATATATGACTTCATTTTAACAAGTACCACCAATTCTCAGTCAAAACTCTATCAAATGAAATTGTTTTCTATAGAAATATTCAGAATAAAAAAGGCTTTGCTTCCCAAACATTCCTGCAACGGGGAAAATGTCATAAAGAATGAGTCAAGGGAAAAAAGGCCATGAATCATTGAAAGATTATATCATTCACTTCCTTTGCATTAAGCACTTATTATATTGTTTTAAAAAAACATGCTGGTTGGAGAGAGAATCTATACCTAGGATTCAGCCTCTTATCAGTTTTCCAGTGTTCTTTATAAGTAACATTTACTGTATTTATCTTCAAAAATAAAGAAAATATATTAGTATACCCTAATATAAATAAAAATTAAAGAGCTCGAATATGGTTTTTCAAATTCTGAAGTATTGAAACAGCCTGATAAACATTCAAGTAATCATCAATATGCACAATGTCCCCAGTTTATAATAAATAGTTCATCTAATTTATAAGACTTCACTACTTTTCCTTATTCCTTTCTATTCTCACAATTTAGCATGTGACTTCCTAACAAATTGCTACCAAAGCCATATTGTCATTCAGGTTTTTTTCTATGGCTCCTCTGCTTTTTCCTTCCAAAAACAACTATATCTTAGATTCAAATAACACATGCACACAACTATATGCAAAATTAAAGTGGTTTAATTTGATAGGTAAATTGCCTTGCATGAATTTATTCATTAACTTCCCATGCTGAAAAGTATTGGAATTCCACTTTCTAGGACAATTCTTGACCACAGAGATGGAGGAGGACCTAGTAATAATTCCAGGTTGTTGTTTGCAGTATGAAATACTTTATCCATGATACAAATCAGAGTTGGAATTCAATTTTTTTTACTACCGGCTCTGTGGGTGTGGCTTGGTGGGCGTGGCAGAGGGGAAGGATACTGTAAAATCTCCAGTCAGACGTGGTATTTGCCAGTTCTCCAAACTACTCAAAATTTCTGCTACCGGTTCTCCAGAACTGGTCAGAACCTGCTGAATACCACCTCCGGTACAAATGTGTTTTGTTTGAATGTCCCATTTTTGCCTCAGTAAAATCATAATGTTGAAATGTTTTCTGTGCATTCATGTCATTAAATAACTGCTTTTTCCCGGAAATTGTTTGGCAGAATTAAGTTAAATTAGTTTGAGTAGATTCCTGAAACAGTTATCAACCTTGACCTGCTGTGGCTATTATCAAGTATTCACCTTCTCAAATTCACTTATAATAAGGAACGATTTCGCTTATAAAGAAGGCACGTTTCCCATATCTACTGTAATGAATATAATTATAAGATTCAAACTAAATTGAATTCCTTCTCATATCTATAACTACACAAAACAGAAATGTGAAGCTTATTTCAAAGAAAATAAAACATTAGGCAATTATCCTGAATCCAACAAGATTTCCACAATGTTAATTCAGATCACTGAACTTCATTACTGAAAGTTAAAACACAACTATGCCACTTACAGCTTCATCAAAACCCAAACAGAGGAAGTGCTGGTACCACTGCTGTACTTCAGGCTGATTTCTGTCCCAAAGCTGGCGTTTCCGAAGTTTCAGATTGTTTAAGAATTCCTTGGCCTTATCTTCTTTAACAGACATCTCTTCCTTCATCAGAACGGGCTGAAGCAAAAACCGAAAACAGCGAATCTATTAATGGCAACAGTGCTATAGATATTTCATCCATCATATGTTCACTACATATGAATACTCAGTTGAATACTCCATGCAATAGGTGAAGAAAATATCACTGTTAAAAAATAATATCCTATGTTACCAGCACAATGCAGTCCCTGAAATGATATTTCTACTGAGTTGGAGAAAAGGTAGGAAACAGGTGCATGTTCAGATACTTCTTGACTTGTGACCACTTGGGACCAAAATTTCCAGAATTTTGTCAGAATGTGGCTGGAAAGACAGCAAACAACAATCACATGACTTGGAACCTGCAATCAATGTGAATACATGCCGATTGCCAAGCTCCCGAAGTTTGACCATGTGACCACATATTGTAGGATGATTAATTCTACTTAAGGATACTAAAACATTTTACTTTGTCTGAATCTTGAAGGAGGAGATCATTAAAACAAATCCACAAAGCAGATGATCTGTAGAAATGGGGAAGGGCAACTGCCTCCAAAATAGGAAAAGATTAAAATCACCATCCAAATGCAAGGAGAACAGAGATTATGGAGGAAGCAGAGGTGGGATTCAGCCGGTTTGCACTAGTTCAGACAAACCGGTTGTTTTGCCCAGATTGGAGAACTAGCTAATCCCACCTCTGGCTGGCCCCATCCACCTCGCCTCACCCCTCCCAGGGGTCCCCCCCCCCATGCTTCCCATTTTGGCTTCCATGTTGGTGCAGGCCAGTGGTGGCAATTCACATTTTTTTACTACCCATTCTGTGAGTGTGCCTTGGTGGGCATGGCAAGGGAAGGATACTGTAAAATCTCCAGTCAGAGGTGGTATTTGCCAGTTCTCCAAACTACTCAAAATTTCCGCTATCAGTTCTCCAGAACTGGTCAGAACCTGCTGAATACCACTTCTGGCCCAGGCCCAAAATAGGGTGCAGGGGTGCATCGCACAGCTCCCATGCCCCGTTTTGGTTTCCAGGGTGGTACAGGAGGTCTTTCAGGCCCCAAACCTGTGCTATAAGGTGAGTTGGGAATGGGAATTTTGCATGATCATTACTGTTGTGCAGCTCCTGAGCAGATGAGCTTCTGATACATCAACTCACTTGCCCAAGCCCACCTAAAAGATGTTGGATCGGGTGTTGGCTAGTCTTGGCCTCTGGATGGTTTATATTTTTTCAAATGGCTAACTATACACATGTCTAACTATATTTCAAATCTTGCCAGTCAACTATCAATCAATTAACTGCTAATTAGTGGGGTTCCACAGGTAAACCATAAAGGTTTTCATACACTTTCCAGTTGCTTCTATTTTGCCCAAGGAACATGCTGATCAACTGTTAACTGATGATAGTCCTTTGAGGTAGACCAGGTCAAGAAACAGAAGCAACAGGGGTCTAAGAGAGCTCTTTACTGTTACAGAAACAGAGTCTTGAAAGCTTGTCAGAGGTTCTCTTTGCCCCATCTTACAGGAAGTCTTTAACTTATGACAATTTATTTTATTTATTTGTCAAAAGCTTACAATATAACAGAAACAAGAATAAACATAAGTTTAATACAAGAAATAGGAACTAATAATTGGGGACAATAGGACAGAGACAGTAGGCACGATTGTGTGCTTATGCACGCTTAATTGCTTAGTGATAATTGAAAAGCACAATGGACTTTGCTAGGGGTACTTACAACCTGGTTCCAAAGTTTCAACAGCTGCCCATCCTCATACATTTAAAGCTGTTTCCAGCATCCCATGATCATGTGGCTGGTTTCGTGACTTTTTGCTATAAACCAGTATTTTCTGCCCATAATGAAAAAAATATCCTTATAATTGCAGTGTTCATTTTACAACCCCCACAAAAATGGCTGTAAAATCAGATGTCACATGGGTGACCCACTTTAAGACCATCAAAACTTATGACTGTAGTAGGCAGATTCCATTATGGTCATAAATCAACAACGCCCTGTACACCAGACAAAATCAAGGTGAGTTATTGAGTTACATTCTGCACTTTCTATTTCGGCAGCACTGAATTGCTGTTTCTCCCAGCTTAAGGTTCACTGTAGAGCAGTGATCTTGATGTTCAGATCTTGATGTTCATGAAGCTTGGGTTTCTTTTTGCAAATGTTTTATTATCAAACTAAGTAACATTGCCAGTGTTTTGATGTAAGGAAATAATATTTGTTGGCTTTTTTTTTGCATGGCAGATTGTCTACAGGGTTGTTATAGTTTGTGAGCTTGTTTCTGACTGATCTACTGTGCTGGATTATTTCATTTTAGATTGTTCCTGGCTATTGTCTTGGCTCTTTCTTATCTACATCTTGATTTGCTAGATGCAGCACTGATGATGTTGCCTTGTTTGGCCATGAAACATTTTCAAGAGAAAGAGAGAAGAAAAACAAGAGCAGTGAACACTAACACCCCAAATCCTAACCCGGAGCCACAAATATTCTTCATAATTGTTCATTACTCTCTTCTCAAGACCAGATCTACAGATTATATGAAAAAAAACATTGAAATTGTTCTAAAGCCATACTCTCCACTGTGCAAAGTTTAGGCTGTTATAGTCTTTTGTTAGCTCAGTCATTCATGGGTAGCTTTGTATTTATCCTGAAAGGTTTTCTCTTTTTTAATTTGAGTCACTAAAATAACAGGGAAGAACATTACTGATTTCCCAAGTTTCTTTCTCTCTTCCCCCTCCTCTCTTTTTTAAAAAATTGAGTATATAATGAAGTATCTAATGAAATAATGGGAAGAGTTGTACGGGAAACACATGCCAGGGATTTCTTTTCTTTTTTTTTAACTCAAGTCATTTTCTCTTAAATTACAGGGAAGAAATTGGACAGGCTGAAATATGCAGTTATCCATTTTTAATTATTTTTTCCAATTAATATTTAAGAAAAGTTGTGTCATCTTCAACAGGCTTACCTTCTCTTCTCTGAAGCATCAGCCTAAGTTTATTTCCCTTTGAAACAGCTGAAGAAAAGCAAAATTGAGTAGTTAAGTGTATAAATAATGCACATTTTTCCTATGCAATATTACTTTTTAAACACATTACTTTTATATGACTGATGAACACAAATAATTTTCCTTCTCTGTGCTCAGTATAATGTTGTAGTACTTGAAAGAAACCATGGTATTATGTGCATTTCCAACATCAATGAATAAAATTACATAACTAATATTAAAAGCAGCTTGTCTATTTCAGGAATAGACATATTTGAGAATAACATCTTTATATTCACGCCATACACTTTATTACTAAGGAATAAGTTTCTAGAGCTGTACATGCACAAAAATGTTGGCATTAACTTGATAAATTATAAATAGCAGCACTGTTTCTTAAGAAAGAAAGGAAAGGGTAAAGAACCATCCACCAATTTTGCCATGAGCCATTGTTGGAAGTATCATCCTTCTGGATTCAGTTCCAAGTGGGGAAAAAATACTGGAAACATGGGGATGTTCCATAATAAGTAGCATATACTCTTAAATCCAAGTACTTGCAATTGAATTGTTTCACACATTGCATTTTTCAGGTTCTTAGAATAAATTAATTTTATTGTTAAAAAAATTGTAAAAAATACACACTGGAAACATGAAGGCTGTTTGGAAAGATGGTTTAATGGTGGACAGGACCACTTGGCTTGGAGCTCCAAAGTGAAAAGGATGATCACATGCTTCAAGGTGAAGGAAAAGAGAAGGAAGGGCCAAGATGATGAGAAACCCTTATATACCCTCTGTTGGGCCGCACCTTCGTGTTTCCTGTTCCTGTGGGAGAAATGTATCCCCTTGGCTGTCAGACTCCCAGGGTCTTAACTAACTTTGTAGGCTTTGTCTGGACCACATGGCTTCACCTGAGTGTTGGCTGATACAATCTTCCCAGGCCAGGTGGTGAGATGGGTAGAGGCCTTTATTATGTAGAATACTCTGGCCTAGGCCTTAATGGCCCCTTAGCAAAGGTTGCGGGGTCGGGGTGGGGTGGGGGCTGAGGTGAGTTTCTGCTTCTGAGTTTCTACTCTTTTTCGGGGAAATATTCTGCCCTTTAAATATTTCCCAGGATATTTCATTTTTCTAAGAGAGGGGTGGGTGCTAACTTCCTACACCAATCTTTATAAACAAAATTCTTCCTGGATCATTGGAGTAGGGCAGGTGGGGCACAATGGCAACTTTACGACCTGTGGACTTCAACTCCCAGAATCCAAAGCAAAGCTGGCTGGGGAATTCTGGGAGTTGAAGTCCTCCAGGCTTAAAGTTGCCAAGATTGGAGACCCCCTGACTTCGATTAAGCGTCTTCCCCCACCGCACCTCACCCATGCAGCGGCCTCCTTTTTCGCCCTTCGCTCACCCGCCCCCTCCCCGAACACGCAAAGCCTGCCTGCCCGCCACGCCCGGCCCCCTGCTCGGCTGACTCACCCGGGCTCGGGGGCGGAGGAGGAGGAGGAGGAGAAGGAGGAGCCCCACCAGCGCAGCCAAAGGCAGAGCGCGGCGCGGCAGCGGAGGGGGCATCCCGGCGGGTCCTCCGGAGGAGCTTTTTGTCTCACGCTGCGCGGTCGGTCCTTCGGGGCCCCTGTGGGAAAAAGAGCGCGGGCGAGGCGGCTGAGTGAGTGGGAAGGAAGCGGCGGGAGAAGCGGCAGAGGCCGCCTCTTTTCGCAGCCGACCCCTTGTTAGCCCGCTTCCCCCTCGCTGGCTGGAGAAGGGGGTTCCGGATCTGGAACGGAGTGGAGAAATCGCCTTGGAACGGGAGCCAGGCGGCTTGCCAGCTTTCCAAAGGCAAACCTATTCGGCGCCGGAAAGGTCTCCTGGCTCCCCATTCCAACCGTTCCCGTAGCATATTCGAGATGGCGATTCCAGCCTCTGTTACTGTACATATGTAAAACATCCACAGGGTGAGGACTGTGGAGCTACGCCGTGGAGTTGTCAGAAGGACTGCAAAGCAGTGAGAACGGTTCCCCTCTCTCGAGGTTTCCCCATCTTTCCGGCTCATCTCTCTTGCTGCCAAACCACATTCGCAAACACACACAAATAGAGGCACTTAACAATATTCAGTGACAGTAGATTGCATTGGCATCCCCTGACCCGGTTCCCTCACCCTGTAGGCCCATCATCCCCTGCCCACATGCGGAGGAAGGGAGGGGCATCCACGGGGCAATTAAAGGTTACAAAATGGCAGGCAGGCCAGAAGCTCCCCCCCCCCCCTTACATGTGTGAGATGTATGTGAGGAACTTTAAAAATTACAAAGGCTTCAATTGTCTAATTTCTCAGCTCCAATTTAGACACTGACTATCATTACAACTCTCCCCCCACCCCACCCCTAAATAATTATATTGGTTAGAGATGATCAGGATCAAAGCCCAAGGCAGAAGGTGGATATCAGACAATCCCTCATATACGAAATGCTCCTTACTTTAGACTGAAATACCCACACAAAAAATGCAAGCTAGTATACTTGCATGTTTTCTTCATGTCACCTTAAGCTGTTTTAATTGCTATTAATTGGCTGGAAATCATTTTTTTTTTAGCTTTGGCCATGTTGGTTTCAAGCTGTGTACGGACTATTCTTAGATAAATGGATCCCTCTGCTATTTTACTGCTCCCATCCATCCTGAGAAAGCCAAGTACCTAGCACTTCAAGGGCAATCCTGCTGTCAAGAAATTGCTTTTCCAATAGGAAAAGGTTAGAAAAGCTGATGGTTCTTCAGACTTTGGAGAATACAGGGCTCCATTTCTAGATTCAGTCTATGCCATTCAATGCCCCAAGTACAAAAACTACGAGGGTTGATGTTGAATATGTTTTGTAAAATCTAAGTTGGGCTTGCTACCCTTCAAAATAGTGGACTTGGTACTCTCTGAACTTGATTGCTTTCTCTTAGATGTTTTATTATCTAACTAGATAACATCCTCAGTGCAAAGGAAAGGTGTGTATATGTGTATATATATGTATGTATATGTATGTATGTATATATGTATATGTATAGCCAAATACTTAGCAAAACAGCTACAGCCCCATGCTGAAACAGCAGCTTCACATGTACAAAACTCATACCACTTCTTGGAAATGATCAAAGATCTACATGTGGAGCAAGAAGATCTGCTTGTAAGTTTTGATGTGGTTTCACTATTCACTCAAGTCCCGATAAAAGAAACTCTTGAAATCATCAAAAATAAATACCAACCAGCTAAACACCTCATGGAACTAACAGAACACTGCTTAACCAACACATATTTCATATACAAAGGACAAAGATACAAACAAATTGAAGGAGCCCCTATGGGATCACCACTGTCACCCATCATTGCAAACCTGTTCATGGAAGAATTCGAATCCAGAGCCCTGGCCAATGCCATCCACAAACCCAAACTATGGTTAAGATACATCGATGACACATTTGTGATTTGGCCCCATGGAAAAGAAAACCTAAACAATTTCCTAACACACCTAAACAGCACACACCCCAAAATCAAGTTCACCATGGAAACAGAAACAAACAAACAACTACCATTCCTAGATGTATTAATCTACAAAAAAACAGATGGCACACTAGGACACAATGTATACCAGAAGAAAACACACACTAACCGCTACCTCAACGCCCAATCCCACCACCACCCAGCACAGATAAACTCCGTGGCTAAAACACTAATTACTATAACCAAACGCCTGGCAGACAAGACACACATTAAGACTGAACTATGCACCCTGACTAAGATACTGACAGACAACGGCTTCCA